ATACGTATAGTGGTGGAGCGCCTTTGGATGTAAAGTATTGTTGAAAAGTTGAAAAGGGGCTTTTCAGCTTCGGGGGAACACTGGGTTCGGTCGACTTGGCAATGCACAACAGTGGATTTGCGGTGCTGATCGAAGGTAACCTATTTTGCCTGTACGATGGGCGCGGTCAGCCGGCCATCCATGCCCTGCATGCGATTTCGCGATAGCGACAGCATCGTGCGGGATGATGCCTCACATGACGAGCAAAAACCGCACCACCCGCTTTTCCTGGTGGAATCCATCCCAGGCCTTTTCCGAGTGGCTTTAGACGATTTGTTCTCGGTAAGGTACAACTGATGTGTTCAAACGGCAAAGAACTGGGAAGAGGCGTGTCTGGCGGCGGATTCAACGGCGCTTCTGAGTTCACACTCGCAGCCATTCTGTCATTTTCTTGCGTCAGCCTGGTTTGCGTGCTCGTTGGAGGTTTTTCGTTCCCTTCTCTTTGGACTAGTGGTTGTACCTGGTCCGAAAGCTTCCCCTTTCCAGACCTATTCAATAGCAGCTGCAGGGTCGTCGTCTGGCGCGGCCTTTACCCAAGACCCAGAACTCTCGCCGATTCGGCCGTCAGACCCATGCTAGGACGCTCGACCGCTGGGGCTGACCACTTTGGAGAACCCACATGAATATTCATGGAACAGCGGAGAGTTGGAGACGCCCAAAATTGGACGACTATGCGCGGTGCACCATCAGATGCCGAACAGGTTCATCCACCAAGTATGTTCCTTCGAAATGCAAAAAGACAGTTGTGAACCTTTGCTAGGCTGTCTGCTCGTTGGGAACCGCGTGCGCACAGAAAAGTTTCGAAACGAACACGGGAACTGCGGGATGCGCAAAGAGTCCGTCGTATCGAGCCTTGTCGCGAGGCAGATCTCTTGCGGGAGTAGCTTCGGTCACAAGAGCTAACCATTTTTAGTTGTATTCAGAGGTGTTGGCAGTGGGTTCTCGAACGAACTTCACTGCCATTCTCTGGCGGGGATCATGTTGGATCCGTTCTTCTGGCAGGCCTTTGGATGGTGGAGGCTACCCTGAAGTCCCTTCTTTTGGTTCTTCCTTTTACACAGGGTCGTGCGGCGGGGAAGGTGACGGGATCCTGGTCTCCAATGCCCGTCACACGGTCACAGTAGGTGAGGACAGGGATCTCGGAGACAAGAATCTTTGCAAGCCTCAGGGTGGTGTTTGCGTGCCTCGCACGTTTGGATATCCCAGCGGATGCTTGGTCGAGGCAGATGTGCCGATGCGAATAGGGGGCTGGGCGAGGTCGTTAATGACAGTGAGGCGAAGAGAAGGCCCAGACTGGGCACCCCTCCGGATCAAGGTGAAACGAACGATTTCATTGCTTCATTAGCTACGCGCGTCGAGCCGAGAGGCAGGAAGGCCTGGTAGAGGGAAAAAAGGGATGCGATGCGATGGAGCCCGGATTACGTGCTGTTAGTTGGAGGAGCCAGTATCAGTCTTTTTTGGTGTTCATTCGAGGAGAAGTTGCAGGAGGCGAAGGAGAAAGGATGGCACTGCGTTGTTCCACGCTCTCGGCGAACAGAATCGTCCTGCATGTTTTGAATTCCCGTGTCTCCCAAGGCTCGAGAACAAGCGGTATGCTCATTGGAACATGAGCGACTTGCGTACTGGTCCTGTGGAGGGGCGGTGACCAGAGGTGACATGAAAGTGTAGTAGCGTTGCAAGACAGGTTTGACAGAGGCGAGATGAGCGGCCATGTTGGTCTAAGGTCGGTGGGAAACCCTTGGCATTGATGTCGATGGAGTTCCGGTCGGATCTACTGTCTGTGTGCCGAAACTTGAAAGATGAACGTGGATCCGAATTGGCGAGGTCTCTGAAGGAAGTTGACGATGTAAATGGGAGCCGCGGGGTCTCCAGGCGGTGACACCGTGCCCTGCCTTCCGGTCGGTCCTTCCCAGGAGAAAAAGAGGAATACACAGAAAGGAAGCCGAAGCTTTGCAATTGCTTGCAGGGCGGCTGCCTTCTGCTTTCGTTTTTCCCAATGCGCGGTACGTATCCGTACCTCCTAGTTTGGTGAGGTACCTGACCGTTCTTTCCGTTTTCTTCGTGCTGCCGCTGCAGACCGTACTATGCATCTGCAGTAGCTGCACGTTGGACACGGGCACAAGCCGCACAACACGGGGCAGGTTGCATCGGTCCATCTGGTCGGTCGAGGAAGGTGCGACGAGACTTTCATCCAGAGAAGATAACTCCCATTCCGTCCGTAACTGCCCTGAGCATCAGACATCAAGAATAAAAGTATCTCAGCGCCGACGGTGCATACAATTTGTACCTTGTCCTTGGGGTACCTTATGTTGTCACCTGACGTGACCATCATCTTGAAGTCTGAACCTAAAGTAGAAGTTACCAACCACCTTATTCCGTACCTACCATCGCATCGGTTACATCAGAGCCGCGTCTTTCTCGCGGCTGGGCAATTGACCACCCACGAGCCATCAAGCGGTATGAGAAGCCAACGGGTCAAAATCCCGTGTATGGCAGGCAAATGTTTGCATTGGAATCTGAAGGCGAATTAACGGCAATTGGATTTCCACATCAGTCTGGAGGCTCGTGTTCACACCAGAAGCCGTCGGAGTTACTCCCTCGCAGCCACTAGACGCAATGCAAGTCTTGTCTCCGGCAATGAGAGCATGAGGGGTTCTCGATTGAATACTCGACCGCCACTCCATTTACACCGTTCGTGTCATTGTGCCTGACCGCGGGGCACATCGCTTGACGTTCCCGCAAACTACGGTCATGAGTGTGGTCGTTGTAATTACTCCCGAAGCCACAGGGTCGTCTTTTGTTCCTTTTCGATTGCGCAATCAAAGGAAATGGAAGTATTCACTCTCGACAAGGCTACTGAGATACATCTTGGTCGCCAACTCTAATTTGGTCCAGCTTCGACCCCAGTTCCAGCTGCAGTTTCCAGCTCCAGCTCTAGCTCCAGCTGTGGCTTCTGAAGCTTGGCATTATCGTGGCTCACTTTCATTGTCTGCCTAGCCCTTCGTCCTTTTCTTCTCCTCGCTTTGCCTTGCGTGACGTTGCTTTTCGTTTCTCTCCGTTGACTCCGTACATACGGATTGACATCTTTTCAATCATCTTGGGTACCACTCATCTTAATCATTCTCCCCTTTACACCCTGATATGCCCCAGCACCCGGTTCTGCTGGGTTTCTACTCTTCCATCACAGTTGCCCTTCTTCATTCCTGCGCAGCATCCCTTTGGCCGCCCTTTCCGACCGCCCTGGACCTTGCTCTGCTCCAACCTATCCAAGTACACGAGGTATTAGCCCTGGGAGGCGATTCGGCGGCGAAGTAGAAGTGCGGCGTGCCCTGTGCTGACTCTCTCACATTGTGCCCGTCCGAGGTTGCTGCACGAATTGTTGGTCCCGGGCTAAGAAGGCCCAAAGCTGAACTACATTATTCATGCCTCTGCGCCATCCTATTGTCCGTTCTATTGTCATTGTCTGAATTTCGGGCATCGCTCATCTGCTGCCATCTCTTTTTTCTCCAACTCATCTGACTTTCCATCCGTACTTGTTCAGACCCAAGATCATCGGCAAACATCAGCAAACAAACCAACACTTCTCACAGAAACTCAAACGGCGTGACGTAGGCGACGTCAAGTTTCCGACATAGAAGAGCTTTCACTACTAAGACTGCCACCTCATAGTTCTGGAACACCTTACCTCACTCTGTACGTGTTCTTCATCTCTTTCTCTCGTCTGTTCCCTTCTCAGACCCAACCTTACCCTACCCTGGACCGTATCTATGAGGTGCTATTCCTGTCCTCCCCCCTTCGTGTTCCCGTATAATTCTGGGCTGGTCAATACCTAGACGGCCTGGTTTGTCAGTCAGCCCTCCCTCTTTCACGACCAGTCAAGGCTAGGCCTCCTTTGGCGTAGGTGTCCCTATGGTTCTTGCTCGCTCCGAGGCGCTACAGAAGTAGGCGCACCCCCTAGCAAGGCACCATTCACCCATCCCACGCCAGTCCAACCTGAGCAGGGTCCTGGTCTGCTATAGTACTGTACGAAACCACTAGGTTACCTTGTGTGTATCCCCCCTAGGTGTGGGTGGGTGAGTGGGTTGAGTGGGTGAGAGAGAGAGCGGGTATGGTGGGCTGGTGCTTGTGGGATCCGCGCTGGGCTGTCTCTCGCAGTCTGAGGTGCCCTCTCTCTCTCTCTGTCTCTCTCTGTGCCCGGCGCTGGTGCGGCCATTGCATGCTGGTGCTTGGTGCTGCCCTTTTGGCCCACCTGGGCGACTTCTTTCCCGGGAACTCAGGTAGGAGGGATCCTCTGAGTCTGAGGTGCTCCTCTGCCTTACTCCGTACTCCTTTGCTTCGGCCTGCTGCCTCTGCCTCCGCCTCTTCCTCTCGTCTCCCAGGTTCCCCCGTCTTTGACTTACATAACAAGTCAAGCATGCCACGCACGACGCATTGCGCTGCCAAGGGCCCATTTCCAAACCCTCAACTCCATGCCTACCAGTATTCAACTTGATCAATAACTCATACACGCCGGTGGTTTGGCATTTTTCTCCCCTGGAGCTGCTCCCGCTAATCTGCTTTTTCTTCTCCTTGTCTTCAGTTTCTACTTTGTCCATCTACGCAACGTCTTAGTCGGCCCCCCGCGCATCTTTGTCATTCGTTCCCATCCGGCACACCGGGGAAGAAACACAGCCAGCCCACATTCAACGACCGCTTCCTTTCCCCTTGCCTCCCTCACAACGAAGAAACACCTTGCACGACCACCGAGGCCAGAATCTTGTCTTCTTCCTTGTCCATGTCCTAGAACAAGCTTTGGGTGTCAACAAAAAGAAGGGTTGTGTAGGGCTTACACAACAATCATAATATAGTTGGACCAAATCTGGCTACCATCGACATTCCTGCGACAAGAAAACATTTAGACACCCTGCTATCCAGCTTTCGACGATTCAATGGCAGCCACGACGGCTCCGACACCGCCCGTCATGACTCCGACTGCAAGCCCGAACCATCTTCGAAAGCACATTTCCCCCGAGCGCCTTACTTTGGGCGACGACGCCGGCCGCAAATCGGTGTCGGCAAGAATTCGGGACGCTCCCGCTTCTCCTGTCAGAGTGAACTTTCAAGCCGAGAACTGGGCCCAGCCATCCAATGCCAACATTGAACTGGCACAACCCTACCAAGCAGAGTTTTCTACAGTTGATCGTTCCCGAGAATACAACGCCCCTACCCCTCCTTCGCATACCTCGGGCTACGACCAGGCTGGACGACAAATGCAAAGCCATGACAGAAATAAGCTGCCCCCCCTCAAAACGTCGAATTCCTACACTGCCGAATCCGATTACCTGAGCCCAGCGAGCTCTCTCACTCCCAACCAAAATGGTCACGATCAGGGCTACATGTCGAAGCGGGGGACTCGGGGGTCGGATAGCTTTAGTGCCCACAGCGCAACAAGAGCTCAAGATGCCAACCGCCACAGTCGGGAATCGAACACCACCACCTCGAGCAACGCCCAACAGCAGGCATCAGCGCAGTCCTCTGCGACGACAAGCGCGAGCTCTGTCTCTGGCGTCAACGAGTCATCCGAATACAAAGATGAGTCTCCCGAGAGCTCGATAATGGAGGGCAACATGCCAGAGAACAATTCTGTCCCAATGTTTCAATACTATCACCATCAGGAGTTCCCTCCTCAGCGTGTCTCTAGTGTTCCTCAGGAGCTTGACGCTCGTCGTTCCTCTTCGAACCCAAGCCTCAACGCTGACGGGACCCCCGTCAACCGTCATCTGACGCCTACCGGGTTTACCAGAAGGACCTCTATGCCCCGACCTTCATCGGCCTACTCTGCCATCTCGGATTATGCCCCCAGAGGACGATCCCCAAATCTGATGCCTGGGGGATCACATATGCGGACGCCATCAGGCACTCGCAGGTCCCCGGAAACGAGACCAGCATCATACGCAGAGCTATTGAACGTGCCGTACCCTCAGCCAGCACCTGCCCCGATCAGCTTTGACAACAACCAGTTGCGCAATGCCGTTGGTAACAATGCCTCCCTCCTCGGAGCCCAAAAGACACTGGAAATGTATCGCCAAAACGTCAAGAAGACCAACGACTTCTCCATCCAGTACTCTTTTGCCGTTTTCCTCATCTCTACCGCTCAAGAACAAGGCCTGGACCCTAGTGAGCCGGCACCTCGCAAGGCAAACTCTAGCCCAAAGAACTCCGCATCATCGACTCCCTACGACCTCCTGCGAGAGGCTAAGGGTATACTCCAGAAGCTGGCCAGCGGCGGGTACCCCTTTGCCCAATACTACCTCGCAGATGGATACGCCTCTGGTCTGTTTAGCAAAGGAAAGGAGGACTATAACCAAGCATTCCCCCTCTTCGTTCTCGCCGCAAAGCATGGTCATGCCGAGTCTGCTTACCGCACGGCGCTATGCTACGAGTTCGGTTGGGGTTGCCGCAAAGATCCTGCTAAGGCTGTCCAGTTCCTCCGCATGTCTGCGTCGAAGCGTCATCCGGGCGCAATGTCCCGACTAGGCAAGGCCTGTCTCTCAGGGGATTTAGGAGAGAAGCGGTATCGCGAGGGCATCAAATGGATGAAGCTTGCAGCAGAGGCTGCTGATGCTGTCTACAGCGCAGCTCCGTATCAGCTAGCCTGCCTGTACGAGACGGGGTACGGCGACGACATCTTCAAGGACGAGGTTTACGCGGCAGAGCTTTTCACCGCCGCGGCAGAACTTGGCCACCCAGAAGCCAACTTCCGCATGGGCGAGGCATATGAGCATGGAAAGCTCAGCTGTCCTCGCGATCCGGCACTAAGCGTGCACTTCTACACTGGTGCTGCTGAGCGAGGACATGCCGGAGCTATGATGGGCCTCTGTGCATGGTACATGGTCGGTGCAGAACCGATTTTGGAAAAAGACGAGGAAGAAGCTTACGAGTGGGCTCGCCGTTCAGCTGAGATGGGTAAGTTGAGAGACTTTTACGAAACATCGACTGAGCGAGGCAATAAGGCTAATCATATTCAAGTAGGTTTCGTCAAGGCCCAGTACGCTGTGGGCTACTTCACAGAGATGGGTATCGGCTGTCGGCGTGACATCTTGGAGGCCAACGTCTGGTATGTCAAGGCTGCGGACGCAGGCGACGAGCGCGCGAAGCAGCGATTGGCAATTATCCAGGCAGCTGTCAGCGGCGGCACCCCGATGGAAGTGGCCCCTCCCCGTAGTGCAAAAATCAAGAAGGGCGGCGAAGAGAAGGATAAGGACAAGGATTGCATTGTGATGTGAGAAGTCACACCCAAAGAGCCGTATCGACGAGATCACACCAAAACACACCGACGTTGGCAGGAGGTCAAGAAAACTCAACTTCACTAATAATGACGAGGAGGGGCGCCTCTATTTCCGGAGAATGTTCCAGGGCCGACTTTTGCCCGACGTTACTCGACTGTTGGATAACGGACAAGGGCCATGTCAATTGGCATATCACCGGGTTTCTTCGTTTTCTCGCACCCATGGGCATCTATAAAAGGGGATTGGAACTATGGGCGGGTGTTGACGGGATGCAGTGCAGGAAGCCGCCGCACGTTGAAGAAAGGGGCAAAGCATGTCTGTCTCGATGATCCAAGGACTCTTCATCTTCCTCTCTCCCACCAATTTTCGGTCTTTTCGTTTTGTTTCTGGTCTTTTTTTTTTTTTAATCCAAGGCAGGGGGTTTCATGAAACTGCATTTGCATAGCATGAGAATCCGGGTACAAACGGGTGCTTCATGATCTAACCATGGTCGGAATTTCTAGCCTGGGAACTCCATTGAACAAGGCGTTTGGAGAGGGGGGGAACACATTGCGATTCAAGACAGACAAGAGTTGCGCGGGTGTGTACACGCCTGGCTGAGCTTTCAGAGGAGCCTGTACATACGAGATACCATAATCCCCTGTCTCGGACAGGCGTTTTTGAGCATAGTAATTGTGCGTTTGATGAGTGACTTGTGAGCATGAGACGGTGGCGTTCGTGATGGTGGTGACCTCAACTGGTTTCTGGTTAATCCCAGCCGTTTGGGATGTTCAGGCCACTGTGTGTCTCGTTCACCAACATTCGAGACGGGTTTCCCTTGAGAGAAGTCTTTCCACCTGCGTTACGTGTTCGTCTATACTCGGCCGAATCCCTTTTCTCTACGTTCCTCGGGGTGATTCAGAATCCGGCCCAGTGTCGGAGGTTCCTCTTCTTACTCCGTTGTGGATCATCGCCGTTGCGTACACACACGTCTTTCGTGTTCGGTCTTCCGATGCCTCAAGTTTTGACGTGTGACGTGCCAAGACATGATTGATTTCAAAGTAGGCCCGATGAGGCGCTAATCAGTCTACCCCAGCCTCGTTTCTTCTTCTTCTCGAGCTTGACATTCCATACAAGGGAAATGGATTGGGGATGAGGCGCCGAGTTTGGGTTTGAGAGGTGTTGAACTTGTGGTCTTTGCTTTCCCGCCTTTGTGTTGAGACTGCCGCCGCGCCGCGTGTCATTTGAGGTAGCACACGACGAGTGTGTAAGAGATTTCGAGAAAGCTCGGGGCACATAGTTTTCTTCTTTTGACTCGTCAGACTCGTCAGCGTTTTTTTTTTCCCTTGACGGCGCGTTCCTTTCTTCGGATTGTGGGAGGAAACGGATAGGATGAGGGTGGGCGGCTTTTGCAACTTGTTCGGGGAGAGAGAGATTTTGTTTTATGACGTGGTTTTAGGGCTGAGCTCTTGGTTCATTCAGACAGGGTGGCTTTCTGCGGTGTATCGTTTGTTTTTGAGATGTTTTGGTTTGGTATGCCTTATAACGGTAGGTTTTGTGGCCAGTCTCTTACGACTTACGACTTTGGTGGTTGGTAGCTTGTCGGGGGTGTGTAAGTATTAAGGGTTGTCGGATGTTCTTGTTCTACATCTATACCTGTTGCAAAGCTCATGGATGTTGCCTTATACTCATTCATAGTTAGGAAGTCCTGCATCAGGCAGTTATGGGTGTTGCTTGCAATACCGCTTCAGAACTTGAAAGGAGTTACAGACGTTGATGAGGTCCGCGGAAGCATCATTATGTGGGCAGTGTAGGGTAGCGCTGTGTCTTTACGGAGAGTAGACATTCTCCTTCAGGGACATTATTCTTTTACTTTTATATTACAAACCTTCTAATAGTAATTGTTAACTTGTTGGGTGTGAGTGCTCTTCAAATTGCTAATACTGCCCTTTCTTGACCATGACGAGGATCTATGTCACGGTCCGTCAGCTTCCGAGATGTCATGGCAGCAGTTGCAATTACTCACGAAGACAAAATGATCTAAGCGTGGAGACCGCGTCTGCGTATCTGTCGCCCATGTTTTCTTGATGTAAACTGCTTGCAGCTTGTTTTCCGTGGTAGATCGGAAGCACAGGTGTTATCACCGCCGTAAGATAGTCACCAACCCTGACATATCACGGCAGGAAAACGTCTCCAAGAGCCTTCGATATCATTTTGAGTTTCTCGCCTGAGCAAAGAACCTCGACATATTCATCATGTCTTCTGTTACCTCCGCAAAACGTGACGAATGGCGATTCCTGTTGCTTAAGGTCAGTCTGCTTGAAACAGCAGGCAGCGATTTAATTACGGCAACATTCTTCTAAAATATAGAGTTATCCCAGAATAAGGTGTTTATCTTAGTGTTGGTGCAATGCTTTCCTCCTTCGACTTGACGTTGATAGTAGGCACAGCGTCACATGTCACGTCTCCAAGTACAACTCAGGCTTTCTACTCAAAGGAGAAGTTGCGAGAAATAAGGACATTCAAAGAGATGACTGAGGATCTGCCTAGGTATCTGCCTACTTTGGGTATTCGCTTTATTCGGGAAAGAACCTTTTTCTAGATAGGATACTATCAGAATAGCATCGCGTCTATTTACTTTAGACAACTGATGTTCATGCAACTGATCTAGGAGACGAATTCGACTAGGTATTCTCCATTGGAAGACTCCATGTAACTCAACTTTTTCCTTCTATATTGGCAGGCAACTCATAGATGAAGCAGACTTCTCCTAACAGTACCTACAACTTGCGTGCCTCAAGATGAATCCGTGACACATGTAGTACGTAGGAAGGCTTCTACTCTGTGTTCTATCTTAAGGCTTGATATAGAACGACCTTAAATACTCTTCCGCCGCGGCCTCTCCTGAGGCAAGCCCTTTTTCTTTTGCCCACTTCTGGTACTCTGGCGTTTTGAAAAATTCTTTGTAGTCAACACCTCCCTCTTGATCTACCCAGCTGAACTTTCCGTGTTCATCCAAGAAGTTACCTATCAATGTGATAAGTAATAGTCAATGCAGTGCTGAGTTATTTTGAGGGACAGCAGAGGGGCTAAGCATTGGCTTGGACACCGAGAAAAGTGAGAACTTACCGTAAATTGGATGCTTTGTGTCTATACGAACCATTATCAGCCATTTCCGTTGACCACTTTCAATGATGGGGCGAAGAACAATCCAATGAATCCACGTGATAAAGACTCAACTCACCTGTGAACTGAGATATGGAAGTAGACTTTCTCACGGAATGCTCCGAACCCCAGTCCATCAACTGCGACCAGTCGGCACAAGTACGTTCAACGCCATTCCAGTTGATGACGGAATGGAAATCATGGAGAGTCCAGTGAAGTAGAACGGGCGTGAGGTCTGCCTGGCATTTCACGGATTCCATGATGTGATGGAGACAGTGTCCTAAGGCGACATCGGAGTCAGTTACACGCTCTCACAGACTTTTCGACCAATGCCGCTCTAGTCAGCATTAGGCGCGCAGTGACCTGAGACTTCCTAAGACTTCAACCGACCTATATGACTCTTCTGAGTTGCATCCTCCTTCTCTGTGGTATTGGGAGTGTAATAGTATTCTCTATGCGCAACCTGGTATAAGTAGTTCTGCCGCAGACGTAAGACTTTAGCATTTGAAATGTCGCCAGAAAGCGTAGATAACGAGAATCGACATCGAGACTTACGATGCAGTGTAAGTTATGCACCATAGCAAGGCCTCCAAGGCTTCAATGCAGTCAGCCAGATTGCAATGCCAACAAAACGACTATCCCTATATGCTCGACTTACTAGCCGCCTTCTCCATCGTTGAAAGGTATCGCATCTTTCTCCATACCAAGTCGGTGTACCTCGGATTCCGGGATTCGGTTGGCAAACGCTACGATGATTTAGTGACTGGGTCTCGAGCTTCCACATCGTTCGACACAAAGGGCTCACCTGAAAGCAATGCAGACCAGTTTGCATCTACATCTGGGCTTGGGTTGCCCAGAAGTGGGTGATCTTGACCTGGCGTAACTGGATTCACGAGCTGCGGGCTGAACTCAACCTTGTCCTGAAGAGAAGGACGGTCTATTCAGTAAAAGAAGGAACGACAAGAACTCAAGAATGGCTTGAGCTTCAAAGTTGTTCAACATACCCATACATGTACCGTGTCTGGTGTCGTAAGTCGAGGGCAGAATGGCTTGTAGATGACTTCACGGGCATAGTAAAGTATTGCCCACGTATAAGTTGCGAGGACGAGGAGTGAAGCAAGTATTTGGAGTGCTCTCCTTAGCCTTGATGTGCCTTTACTCGAGTTCCATTTCCCCTGATGTAAGGGATAGTCCTCGTGGTCGTCATCGGTTTTCACGTCCTCGAAACCATCTTCAGAGACTGGCTTGTACTTGACTGCAGGTGCTGCAGCCATGTTTTCCGTGGTTGTTGTTTCCCAAGTGCGCTGCAAGTAGCAGGAACAGCAGTCGGTATGGAATTTGCGAGTTTGTCAAATGAAAGTATGAGCGTTCGCGTTGCCACGGAAGGGAGAAGATTGTAAACTTGGACGAGGCCGGCCAGCCATATCTGGCGGTATGTACAGACTGCTCATGAATCTTTGCGTAGACAAGAATACTTGGTGAATCTCTCGCTTTGGAAAGTACTCTAGGAAAGCCCCTTGGTGTCGAATTATCAGTAGGCGAAAAAGGCTCCCACCGGATGCGAGAGTCTATGCTACAACAGGTGAGAGACCCGGAAGATAGAGTTCGTCAGATATCAGGTGGCCATGCTGGGTAGCTAGGAAGACCGTCACATCAAGATCCTGGGGCGGGAAGTATCCTCACGCCAAGGTTTGTTGACACCGGATGGAACGTCAATTTTTGACCCTGGTCCCCAAGAATTCATTCTGCCTCCTCCGTGCCGTTACTCCGATCTCCAAGCCTGGGTGTGGGTTTGGTGGATGCTAGTATGGCCGGAAGGTAACGGTAAATCCACCTTCAATAACCGGTCTAGACCAACTAACTGCCTGGACAGTCTTCGTCCTGCCTCCTCTGCCTGACTTGACTGATACCGACCTCTCCGTCTTTGCGGTAACCTCCAGAGTCTCCTCTCTCATCTCAGACTCCAGAGTCACTACACAGGCTATTTGCTGTCACACCCAGGATTTCACACTTTCGGAATCTTCACATCATGTCTTCTCTATCTGAAGATGCGAAGCCCTTCTTGCCAAGCGAAAGTGGTGATTCCAGTTTCGACTTAGCCCCGGCTGAGAGATCGAGACTGCAGCAAGACCGATTGACGGAGCCTCGCTGGCGAAGACGACTCTGGATCAGCCATGTGATCTTCTTGGGATTCAACGTGGCGTTCCTCATCTACAACATTGGTGATGTTGGGAAACATGTCGGGCCAGAGGCCGCAGTGCTCGAAAAAGCCTACTGTGAGAAGCTTTTCCTTCGCCTGGGTAATACAATGGTGCTGATATCGAATCTCCTAGCACCGGCACAGATGGCAATTAGTTATACAGTCAAGGAGGAAGCCCCTATGTTGCCCGATAACGTGCTCACCGGCCCACCCGGCCCCGAGGCCGACAAGGCGTGGGAAGAACTTGAGAAACGTGAGTTCAACGCCATCATTCAGCATTTACTACATCAGATCCTAAAAAAAAATGCCGTGAAGCATTCATGCTCAGGTTCTCTGAAGACGAGATGAATCGGATGCAAAAGACCTCGCTTGCTCTCAAAGACGGAAGTGGGTATATCGGTTATTTGGAGTCTTTCCACATGTTGCATTGCGTTGTAAGTGACTTCTTCCTTGAATTTCTATATTTCTCTCTGCGAATGGCATAATTATCTTCGCTTTCGCGTTGCTGACTGGCCCACAGAAGAGTGCCTGGAAGTCCCAATACATGGATCACTATGGCAGTGGACATTCGACCAAGCCCGGGCATCTAGCTCATTGCCTCAACGTGCTGATCCAGGGTATCATGTGCAACGCAGACACATCGATCGGAACATATCATTGGAAAGAAGGGGGGACTATCAAGGGTAAAGAGATGATGGACATTGAGGCTAACAGGACTGGGCATCGCCAATGCACCGACTTTAGCAAGCTTCAAGCTTGGGCTACCAAGCGGACTCTTGACTTTGATGTCCACGATACAGACAAGTTTCTGCGTACCTTGAAGCCGGAAAACTAGGGTTTGATAAATAGCATCGTTGTTGAGACTTGGAGGTACGAGCAGAAAGGAGTTAAAAGACCTTCGTTCATGGCCTCATCTCCATTGGCTCTAAAAGCTCGATGTAGCTAGATTCTAGATGCATCTCTGAACGAGTATCTGCTATAATAGAATGATTGCGACGCCATGTTCTCCCGTAGACCGCAGTCATTGTGACTTGTTAATTAGATATGCTGACCAAAACACAGCTATGCTGGCTAGCCGAAAGATCCACGCCACACTGTTCTCAACGCCAAGAACCTTCAGAACCGCCAAAAGGAATGCGCAAACTAGAGTTGAGCCAATCTGAGGCAGAGATATCGCCATGTTGTGCAGTCCCAGGATCCACGCAACCTCGCTGTCTTGCTTTCCCACGGATAGCTCAGAGATTTCTGCGCTGATCAAAGCAAACGGAGCCCACATCGTTACGGCAGCCGTAGACCCCATCATAGCGACGACGATGATGGCTGTGGCTCCGCTGCGAGCTACAAAGGTGAGATGCATGCAATATCCCAAGAAGCACTGCGATGCAAACCAGACTTTGGGGAGGTTGCGAGAGAAGGCCGGCATGTAGCGGTCAAGTATCTGAAGCAAGATACTCGCAGCAAATGCTCCTAATGCGAAAGCAAATGATGCAAAGAAACCAAAGTCCTTCGCACTCTCGACGAGTTCTGGATCAGGTTTCACAAGCTGTCTTTGCCTTTCCTCGAGTTTGTCAGAAAGAGCTGAGAGATGTTAGTATTGGAAGTGCATCAAAAGTTATGGACTTCTACCTGTCTCATAGGCGAACCTGACACAAGTCCACGAGTTAGTAACTTGATGCAACACGTAAATATCAAATTCAAATGCTTACGTTGACATGTAGTACAAGATGGGAAACCATCCTGCCCACGCCCAGAATTGGATCTCACAAACCCGGCGACTGCGCGGAGGGATTTGTTTCCACCGTTTTGCCAGCCCTGTCGGTGAAATGATGGCCCATGACCGTTGCGCAAAAGAAGCCTGGCGGTCACGCGAAGGTGTTATGTTCTGATCAGCGATGAGATAGCACGTGAGGCCGACCGTTGTGAAGGTGCAAGCTGCAACTACAACAGCGAGTAACTTGAAACGCTCGTTGCTATTTGCACCAGTCGAGGACCACTGGGCATCCATAAAGCCAACAGAAGAGAGCACCACGTTACCCAGCACATTCCATCGCATAACCCAGGAGGCTGCAACAGACTGTTGACTGGGAGGTGAGTTGTCTACTATCAGAGCCCTCACGCCGACTGCGTATGCCTGCAGTGTAAACGTAGTGACAACTACTGAGAAGACTGCGAGAATTTGCGTCGCCAAGTGCGCCGAGCTGGCGGAACCACCAACACTGGAACTCCATGTCCAAGCTGTGAGTTCCTCAGAGTACGCCAATGCAAGCAGGAAAATAGTTGCGCAAAGCGAGCCCCCTACGATGAACGGCTTCCTCTTACCCCAGGCATGTTGTGACTCGTCGCTGAGCACACCGAGAATAGGCTGCGCAAAGGCGCCAGATATAGGACCGGTGACCCATACCAAGGATATGATGGATTTGGAAATACCGAGCGAGATCAAGTAGGGCTTTGAGTTGGTAGTCAGTCACTCAGCTGGAATTGAGTTGGGGAGAAGAAGACTAACAGTGCCGCTCGATGTCAAAAGAAACCAACACACTTGAAGGCCCAAACTAGGAGACGTGAGGAGGAGCAAGCCTGGAAGCTTGAGCAAGGTGTGCTTCGGGGGAACCTCCTCCCCAAGCTCTGCCAGTTCTAGGTCCTCCGTGGAAGACGCGGGTCCAGGAGAATAGAGAGCCCTAGAGGTAGACTCGCCTACCGTGACACGAGCCATTTCCTGTACGAACAGGACGAAGAGAATGACGCTGCCTACTGTTCCATAGTGACCGGAGATACTTGCAGGAGCTCAACGTTGATTTGTTATAGTAGAAGATGTAAGCTGACCTGGTATCGCCGAGTCCTCGCCGGAGACCGCTGCGTTTCTAATCTGAAAGAGCCATGCGTTCCCTAGCCCTGGTCATTTACTCCATAGACGCTTTACTCAGCTGTGGAACGCGCCGGTGGCACCGGCGTCCTAAGTCGGACGCAAAGGATGGATGCCCTTGCAGTCTGTAGCGTGTAACTTCTCACTTTCCTCAGTCCTTCTTTCAAGTCCACGTATTACGCATATTACCCATGCGGGCGGGTACCTTGTAAACTCTGTTTATCAACCGAGTTCTTTGGTCCGTTCGCGCCGACGAGCCACCCCTGTCAGGACCAGCACAGTGCCTGATGAATGCCGCTGGACCCGGCATTGGAACTTTACTAGGAATAATATTGCCGACGTGGCTTAGCTGGTCACTGGGGAGGGGAGAAGTGTTAATCGAATAAACGCTGGCCAGTGGTACCAATTGTCTTCTCAAGTTTCAAGGCGTGTAGCCGCCAACTTTGCTCTCCATCAAGCATCACGCTTACATGGCACGTTATTCCGAACCAAGACACGACTGGCACCGCCAATCATATCAAAAAAAAAAAAAAAAAAATAGACTCTGGCATCTCAGTATGTCGGATGGTCATGCAGCGGTAAGCTGGTCTTCTCTACCACGAAAAGACCAGCTATTTCTACTCTTCATGATCCGATTCAGTGAACCAGTCGTCAGGGTTTCTATCGGAGCGTACATCTACTACCAACTTAAATCACTTGATCCAGCTTTGTCTAGTGCTGAAGTAATCACGCAATCCGCGTATCTTCAGACAGCTTATACTATTGCGCAAGCTATCTCATCTCTGCTATGGGGCGTGGTTTCAGATTCTCCCAGAGGGGGAAGGAAGCTAGTTGTGCTAACGAGTTTGTCTGGATCATGTAAGTCAACACTACAGTGATGTTCCATGGGCTTTGCGAGAAGTTCACCCAATTTCTGATGACGACTGACTTTCTAAACGTCATTTACAGTCATAAGTTGTGCGCTATTTGGTTTCATCACTAGCTTCAAGCAAGCCGTCTTCCTTCGAGTTTTTGAGGGCATAACCAATGGGAACGTCGCTATGGTTAGAACAATGGTTTCCGAAGTTGTTCAGGAGAAGCGGTAAGACGTTTCCTATCAGGCAGGATGGGAAATATAGGATTTCGAACAGCTCAGACTGACCGAACATACTCGAAATAGTTTCCAGGCCAGGGCTTTTGCGCTTCTACCAATTGCCACTCGAATGGCCATAATCATCAGCCCGCTCGTGGCAGGTTGGACTGTTCAGCTAGAAACAACAGGCCAAGACGACACTTTTGTGAGGAAACACCCATATGCACTACCGGCTTTGCTGAACGCTGGCTTCTTGCTTCTTCTCTTACTTGCTGCATTTCTGTTTCTTGAAGAGGTATGTCGTCATCAATCTATGCTCACTTTTGTCCTGTTGTTTCACTTGAGACTGACGCAAGGGCAGACATCGAAATCACTAAGAGGTCGATTCGATCCTGGAATTAGCATCTCAAAGAAATTTCTGTCCTTGTTCCGCTTGGTTCCTTTCAGCAAAGCAGATAACACTCAGTACTCACGCATCAATTCAGAAGAAGAGGATGGAGAAGAGATGGGTTTCTTGAAGGAGGTTGATGGAAACGATCAGTCTGACGCTTCCACACCCCCTGGCGTTCCAGTAACACCGAGTGAAAAGAACTTAAAGCTCCCTACACGTCGCATTTTCACCACTAACATGCTTCTGGTTCTATTGGCTACACTACTCTATGAACTACATCTTAACAGCGTCAGCGTTGCTATGGCCAACATGTTAGTCGATCCTGTTTCCACCAAAGAAGCCGAACTGTCAAGGGTTCTGCCATTCCGCTTCGGGGGCGGCGCCGGCTTTCAGCCGAAGTCTCTTGCCTGGTACTCAACTGTGTTCGGTAAGATCTCAACCACCTCACTGTGTTCATCGATTGTGTTAAAATTTCGCCCTCTCAAGAGCTAACAGCTAACACGGTGTGATATAGGGATTGTCGGTATTCCCATGCAGATCTTTGTTTACCCCTGGCTTAATCATCGCCTCGGTTGTCTGAGACTCTGGCAACTGTTTTACCTCGGATTCCCCCTACTTTATTTTGCATACCCATATGTTGCAATTATTCCATCTTCTACGCCGCCTCCTTCAGAAAAGACTGGTGTAGCTGTATGGGCCTTTTTGGTGTTGATTCAAACCTCAACGTCACTCATTACGAGTGTTGTAACGCCCTCGCAGCTGCTACTGGCAAATTTCTCCTCGCCTCATCCATCGGCGCTGGGAAGAACTCACAGTATCACCTTCTTCACGTCGATGGCGGTTCGAGCTGCCAGTTCAGCTATGGCTGGAAATATGTACGCTTTTGGGTCGACGCACAACTTGACTGGGGTCATATTCTGGTTTAGCAGCACTGTGTCGCTTATAGCGATCATTGTCACCCGGTTTGTGAGAGAAGGAAACGGCCATGAACTCAAGCTCCCGGGAGAGGATTAAGGTTTACTTAGTGCAGAATCGTAGTGAACTCGAAGGAATCAATCACACTACAGAAGTTCACCTTCTTCATAAGGATGCTGGTACTCGCCCATTAATAAGGACCATGGATACTCCGGTTTTTTTTTTTTTTTTTTTATCGTCAAAAAGAATAAGCAAATAAATGAAGAAGAAAAAGATGTTGCGCTGGGCTAATCAACTCGATGGATAAGACGTTCGGGACACGGAGCTTAGAAACTTCTTTTCAACTAATACTCATCTGTAACTAGGTAAGTAGAAACAATTTGCCATACACTGCACAACTAATGAGGTCCTACTTAATTCATGTTCTGCACAAATTTCTCACCTGCCGTCTGATTGCCTTCAATCTCAAGCCTTTTGTATACGTCCTCGATCTCTTCCTTGTAGTCCTTCTCGACCTCCCTCCGAAGCACCAGTTGCTTCACAGTCAACTTGATAGGCTTTTCCTTGCTGGCCAAAAATATAGTCTGTCTCGGAATGGCCACTGCTTTCGCAGAAGTCTCATTGTGCCCCACAATGGTCTTCTCATAAATATCGTCAAGAAGTTCTTCGTGGTTCCTTCCATGCAGTTCCTCCTTCACTTCTATCAGCACGTATGGTGCAATGCGCCCTGCACCGCCGACCATAACGTGCTTGATTCCAGGGTACCTGGCGACTTTGGTCTCGATGTCTTGAGCGTGGAATTTGGCCATCCAAATCAGCTTCGTCCAATCATCAGTTCTGGCGACTGATTCCCATCGGGTACTGCCGTCGCTGTCTTTGACCGGACGCCACAACTCCTTCGTATCGATTGTCTCAACGTCCTTGAACATCTTGTAGTTCCAGAAGGCACACTGATAGATAGATGGTCCACCGTCAGGTGGCCTGTCAATGAACATCTGGTACACATCAGAGTCATCTCCGTCACCCAGAGCTTCACCAGATCCCTCTAGCTTGACCAAACGAACATGGTGCTCAGGAATGAACTGGAAGCTGTACCATAGCTTTCTGTCTATGGGATGCAGGGAAAAGCGACCACCAGACTCTGTGGCTCCCATGACAGAATTGAGCCTTGTGTGTTCGCACAGTGCGTCTCCGACAACTCGATCGAGGGCAGATCCCAGATAAGTGATGAACTCAAGCGACTTCAGTGATTCCCGGGTCTCTTCATTGTTGTATAGGTCAACGATGGTGAAAGGAAATCCCATCAGGCCATCAACCTTGTTGAGACGCAGAAGCTTCTGGAAAATAGCTGGCGGAAGCCCGACTACATCTGGAGGGGGCTGAATAACACAGGTACCAGAGAAAACGGCAAACATGTTGATTAAGACAAGGCCAGGCTGTAGTCTCATTGGGATTGCCAAAATCAGGGACCTGCCATAGAAAGAATCCGTAGATATTCCCCTAGGCCAGTGACGGCGAGCCAAGCCGGCAGATGAACATCCAGCTGCCCAGAAGCCATTGTTCATGAAGATTGGCTTAGGTGCTCCTGTTGTGTTGACTGGTCAGTGTCCGGTGATATGAGCAAACTCCCTACGTTTCCATACCTGTGGTGCCTCCAGTGTGGATGATGAGAATCTCATCGTCCTTCGCCTGCTCATAAGTCTTCTCATAGGCGTAGGGCTCGGTTCCTTGGGCAGAAAGACACCAATCGAGACTTTGGAACTGCTCAACATGGATACCCGATGCTGCAAGCTCAGGCTCGGGGCTGAATGCACCTCCCTCGGAATACAGCCAAATCTTGCAGTTTGATGACTCTAGCAGTGCATCAAGTCCATCCTTCATGAAACGACCATCTGGAACAAGAAACTAATCAACGTTAGCATAATTTGTTCTAAGTGAGGATGGTTCTTACATACCTTGCGACCTGTCTTGACCGATGCTGCGAATAGGAACGCATATCGGATGTCGCTGGGGCCAGAATACGCCACAGTATCGTTGTCCACAGACTTTCCGAAGGTCTTGTCAAGCCAGTGTGCAGTCTTATTGATGCCATCGGCGTATTGTTGCCAAGTCAAAGAACGGTAACCCTCTGTCTCCCAGTCAGGCCCACCAGCGAATCGTATAAGTGCATTATGAGGTTGCCATTTGGCATTCTCGTCAATTTTGCGGACGAACAGCTCCATTCCTGGAGTACTGGTATTGAAACTCATTATGGTCAATTTGGCAATTGGCAGGTGGTTTGACTGTGTCTAGCAAACAGAAAGCTTCAAGTCGAAATGGATCGATACGAGAACAAGACTGATGCCTTTCAAACAAGGTACTCCTTCAATTCAAACCTACTGCGCTCTTGAAATACACACACATCAGGTACGAGCCTCTGAGGTCTGGTCCCGGCCATTCCGAGACACATATCATGTGGCAGGGGTGTTCGTCTTGTTCACACTGCTCAGGCAGTGGAACTTTGTGACATTCGGCATCAAAGTTGTCAGATGATGAGAACTGATACAAAGACCAGAACACAGAACGGAGTCGTTCATCCGAGGCTCCTAGCTAGGCGATATTGACTCCATAGAATTGGGTTTGTTCCGTTCATTTCACCGCACTCTTCAAGGGATCCTCTCCGAGGCTCCGAGGACGCACGCTGTGGGGATATTATCTCTCAACTCTGGAGTCTAGATATGTCTCACGACTTAATTTGATGAAATGAGTTATGATAGTGGGGCCAAAGGCAGCGGACCAGCCGTCGTAAAAGGCCCGACCATACTTACAGACACGTAGGACTTGGCCGAATCCACTGTGGCCGTATATCTGACAGTCGTCCTTCGGAAAGCATAGCAAGGGAATACTTTCGCATATTCAGGCCGGGGCCGCCGGGCTGTGCCCAAGGTGGATGTCACTTCTAGAGGACCCCTTGCTACCAAGAAAGCGGGCCTATGCCTGCCGTTATTGACGCGGCGGGGAGTCGCAGTACAACTTATGGTATCTTTGAGTTAAGGCAGGTCAATGACAGGAGTCCAAGATATTCGGGATATGGCTAGAGAATTCCAACGAGCGTTGCCGACGTGACATTTCTTATTGGCACCCCAGTGCTTGATGATGCGAAATGTCATGGACAGAAAAACTGACCCTGGCAGGTGGATCGACCCCAGGTCGATCCTGCGGCCAAATTGTCGGTGGTTCTATTCCTACATTCACTTTCACGCTGGTACAAACTTATGGACGCAGCACATACCTACATGTAAAGCCAAGACGCTACTAATCAGTAAGCGTATTTGTCCCAAAGGAATAAACAGACTTTACGACTTATTACAGATATTAAACTTAAGCAGGTCTATTTCAACCCCTCAGATCGAATCCTACCTTGAGCGGAGGCTGATGTCTGACTTAGGGATAGTGTTACCACAGGGGGGGGAACTGAAATGTGCTGAACTCTAAAACCTAGCCACAAGATTTCAGCTAAGGCAACTTTACACACTGTGTTCTACGGAAAAATAAGACAAAGGTGTGATATCGATTGCGAAGAACAGCGTTAATTCCAAGTTCGTTTCGAGTCTATCGACGACACATCAACCCTAACGACGCTGCCATAATGTCTTCCACGCCGCAAGCACCCCCTCATCCCCGAGACTGGGAGGTTGGAGTGGACGAATACCTCACACAAAACGGAATCTCCTATGAAACGGCAGTACCTCTCAACACTGGCACATCATGCTACATCTGGCGACTCGAAGGACTGGTCGACGCGGAGGCCTCAGCCAATGGTCATCAGATAGACCAGCCAGTCATAATGAAGTGCGCCGACAGCACCCCCAAATACCGGAACTTTCCAGTTTCACCGGAACGACTTCAGTTTGAAGTCAAAGCTCTGAGATCCAAAGCAGTGGAAGAAGCTTGCCATCAGGAGCCATCAGTCCAAGTCCCGCGCGTGCTTCGAGAAACGAAGAACGGGTTCATCATGAGCAATGTCGGTGAGACTGATCTGAGGACGGCCTACAAGACGTACGAAGATCTGGACGCGCCGGGAATTGGTGCGCGTTTGGGTCGATGGCTGGGGAGCCTGCATGTTGCCGGTATTGATCTCGGCCCCGACGGATGGAGCTCCCACCATAATGAACTGGACAAGTTCTACGTACATGGCGGTCTGGCGGAAAAGGCCATCAAAGACGCTATGAACGACGAAGAGTCGGAAAAGGTGCTTGCAGCAATGCGCGCACCCGCTCCTATTCACACGCTGACGCCTTGGGACTTTCGACCTATGAACATTGTGGTACATGTTCCCGAGGACAAGGGGGTGGCCTCGGACCTTGCGGTGGTGGACTGGGAGTTATGTCACTACGGTGATCCTTCCAACGATGTTCGCATGTGGTTTGCTGAAGTTGTCATACTGGAGGCAAAGTTTGGAAATAGGGGTCTACTCTCGTCGTTTCTATCGGCATATAAGCAGCGGGTCGGTAGTGCTGTCGTAGATGAATCATTTGTGTCTAGAGTTGCTCTGAGTGCCGGCATCTATATGCTGTGGCTTATTCCCATCAACCCTCGGGTTTGGGATTGCACAGAGGAGGATTTAGAATCTTGGAAGAGAACAAGCCTAGACTATATCAGGGCAGGCGCAAATGAGGATGTCGACTGGCTGAGACAAAGCTGCTTGGGGCCTTTATTGACATGATATAGTGCAGATGGGATATCTAAGAGATAAAGAATTCCGCGGGTCAACTCTTTCTACTCTTCCGTGTGCATTTCTATACGAGATCGAGGATAAAGTGAAGAAAAGAAAAATCTTTCACGATTTTCAAAATACTTGATTTTTTACAATGCCCAAAACGCTCATGCTCTTTAGATTGAACAAATCAAGAACTATACTTCTCTCTTTCTAGGCCTTTAAATTACGTTATTCCATGAAGAGACAGTATCGAATAGCATGTTTGGTCTAAGATTTCCCGTTCGTCTTGCTGGGGAGCCATGCAACATCTGCCGATGCCCTCGACTTTCCAAAATCCGCGCCTGGGTAATTATATGCGGTGTACGCTTGCGCTCGCTTTCCATCTCGCACGGGAACGCGGAATCCCAAAAGTCCCAATTGTCTGTCAGACAATTTTGCCTTGGTCTCCGCGCTCATGAGCTCCGGGTAGTTCTCCATGGCCTGCAAAAAGAAGCGGCAGAATGCTGACAGAATGACAGGTCGTGTGGCGTCCGACGTGTTCACGCCAGTCGAGTGCCAGGTTCGGCTGTCCAGGAGCACACATGTTCCAGCGGGAGCTGCCGCCGGAACGGATCCTCCCTAGCAATTATGAGTAAGATATCGAACAAATTCTTTTGGGCAACTTGTGAAGCAAATGAGATGGAAATCACTTACAACTTCATTGATAATAAGTGGCGCGACATTCTTGTTGTGAGACCCGGGATACATACGGGTGGCGCCTCGGTCTTCCGTAACATCCACCAAATACCACATAGCATTCAGAAGATAAGGGTGATCGATCGTTTCAGGGGTGAGTCCCATCTGATCACGATGCATATAGATACCAGACTTTGCAGGCCGAGCAATGTTGGCACCCATAGAATGGAGCTTGAACGCATTGCCTAAGAACCAGGGCATGATTGCGTCAATAAGAGGATGATTCAAAAGATCCAAAAACTCATCGCCTTTGTTGGGAAGACTCCTATATAATTTAATCAGTTGGCTGAGTCCAATGCAATTCGCAAGAAGCCTAAGAAATCTTCCAAGTTGAAAGATGCAAAATGTCGGATGTAAGCTTACCAGACTCGTTGATTCGGTTGATCGTCAGCTTGCACATGGGCACCGTCCATGTGAGCTACACCGGCCAGTCGTTCGCCAGCTGCTTGTTCTTCAACAGCAGTCTTGAGAATCTTGACCTGATCCGCCGAAAGAGCATTCTTCACCATTGCGTATCCCCATTTCTGAAGATCGCCTTTAATCTGCTCAACGTCCTCAGTGGGTTCTGGCAGGTCTTGAGCATCCAGCTTACCCGCGGGGACAACGGGCTGGGGACGTCCGCCTGGAGCAAAGCACATGGGAAAGCTTCCGCGACACGGAGGCTTCGCGCGCTTGCCAAAGGCGTGAACAGCGTGCATGCGACCTTCAATGACATCGAGGATGTATTCGGGCATGATAGTCACCGTGACTCCAGGATGAACATTATCTAGGATGTTGTCCAGCAGTGCTGCACTCGTTGATGTAGAATCGATGAAGATAGGAGGACTCAAGTACTGTGATCCGTCCCCCAGGTTGAGCTCAATGAGAGTACCAAGTCCATCAAAGTCCTAGATATTCTATGAGCTATGGCTTAAATACTGTGACTATAGAAAAATGACGACAGTAATCACTGAGTTACAACTACTATGAAATGAATCAACATACTGCCAGCCTTTTCTTGATGTATTCACGAACGCGAGAGGCATTATGCTGAAAAACATTTAGAGGATCGTCTCTGGTTACGTCGTAAGGCTTGCCATCGAAAACAAGTCCAGACGTAAGAGAGCCAGCCGGTGGCGAAAGAGTCGATGCCATGTTGGGTTGTTGAGAAGCAATACTTGAGGTGAAAGTTTTCGAAATTGGAGAAGGTCGGAGCGTTGGAGACTTCTGATGGCGCTCATAGTCTCGCGATGAGCAATGAATAATACTCAGGAAGTTCAGCTCAAACCCACTATGCACTGCATCGATATGTTCTGGGTTGCCCGCACTGTGCATGCCTACATGGGCTCCGCCTTCGGCATCGTAAAAGGTGCCGTAGCCGGCTTGGGTTCACGACTTTGCTTACAATGTCACAGTAAAAGCTCTCCGTTTTGGCCAAGGCTGTGTTGCGCGGCTTTCTGACGAGAAGTTACATTCCCGATTCAAGTTGTGAACTTTTCTGTGCAGGAAAGATGTTGCATGACCCTGCTTGTTGATGATGTTCACCGCTTCACCCGCCGGTCAAGGTTTAAAGGTCCTCTCCACTTTCGATATAAAGTTCTACTTGCAAAGATTAGTGATATGGAGGTCTTAAAATCTGGCTTTTTCTGCACATGCGGGTCTATGAAACAGTGAGGTAGAATAGCTGCCTCGCCGGTGCCTATCGTTTGGGAAAATAGGAGTGTCGATAGACTTAGACGAAATTATATTCGTACAACGAACGAACTTGGGTTGAAATAAACTTTACAGGCGTGCCTCATAATGTAGCATTCGTATTTTTAGTCCCTAACTCCGTAGTGCTAGTCGGTTATATCGGGTTAGCGCCAAGCGGTCTACGTTGCCGATCATCCATGTCCCGGCCAAGGGCTTGGTGAACTCTTCTCCCCCGCAATCGATCCGGTCTCCCGGGGCCAAGCGCTCTGTTCTCCTGAGTCATGAACTCCCGTATCGACCACGGTTCGGGGCATTGCACTTCATACAGCCGGCTACGAATACATTTGTAATAACAACCGGGGTCTATTGTTGCACCACTCTCGGCCGGCCGCCGGTGATTGAGGCAAGGAAGTTACCATTCCTAAATTGGCACCAGGGGTTTCTTCTAGTTTTGACAGCTCACGATTCACATTCGACATGTGAGATGCTTCCGGTCACCATGGATCCCGCAGATACGGGAGGTTCTTCCGACCAACACTACGAAAGCTCACAAGGATGTAGGAGGGAGCACGAGCCTCCAGCAGAAGATTACAAAAGGAGCGGTTAATAAAACTTAGTGACTTATCGACAACCTTTGCGGAGCTTTATGGTATTCGCCGCACGTCATTTGTGCAGGAAAATCATTCCCTAATACGGAATACCCGATTAGATGCTGACAGTTCCACCACGTCGGGACGGAAATAGAGTTCAGGGCCCCAGCTGACGTGTTTGTATTTGTACCTCGACTTCGAAACTAGGGATCCACGTTGAGACCCTGGTTACATTTAGTAGCTCCATGCCCCATGCCAAGTATTCTTATTTCTGAGCTATGACACTACGGAGCATCTTCATTCTTCAGAAGCGAGGGACGCGCTTGCATATCGCGCCGTTAAGTTAGAAGTACATTGGCCTTGTATCGGCGGTGGGAGCGGGGACAGACTTCGGCCCAGGCGGTGTAACCCACTCCTTCCACGGCTGAAGTCGACCTTCTTCTGGGAACGGACCGTTAGGGCCAGGCCCATCCTTCTGATACGGCGCGGGCTCCAGTACGATGAACCGCGCCTCGACACTGTACCGCGTTGGGCAGCCGGGCCGAGCCGCTCCATTTCGAAATGCAGCATGGGGTACAACTGTATGCGGGGCTCATTAGTTAAGGTTTCTTGTCCCTTGGTCGACTAGACCAATCTCGGTGACCACTTGGCGGGCGGTGATATACTCGGGCCAATTAATGATGGGCAACTTACTGTTGAAAAAGCCACCTGGCGGGTGGGTGTCGTACTGTGTCATGATAACAATCTCGTCAGGGCTCTGGTTGCTCATCCAGTACCATCTATGGGCAGGATTCCAAGAAAAGTAGGCGACCTCCTTGGCTGCTTCGTGTGTGATGCGGTCAACCGAGACAACGTCGGCGAGATCGATGTTAGTCCTCGGGTCGCACACGGCGAAGGGAATATCCTCGGCATGATTGAACATCGGGCGCCAAATACTGAATTAAAAACGTTAACCGCGGCGAAGCCAAGGGAGAGTTTTGGTTGCTGCATACTTGATAATTCTCGCCCGGCTTTGGCCTGAGAGAACACGGTGCCGTTCTTCCTCTGTCAAGAACAGCGAAATCCTGCTCCAGGAACTGGCCACAGTATTATCTGTGGGCATGGTTCATATTAGCAGTAGAAACGAGAAATTTGCCGATAGGAATAATGAAGATTTTCTTACCCAAGTGGGCGAAAGGAAGATGTCCTGTGCGGCCTCCTTTCGAACGCGCATCTCGAAACTGATTGTAGGTCAAGTGTGGTTAGCAAGTATGATACTGGCTGGCACCTGATGAAGGCTTAGGCCATCCAAACTGGAGGAACTACCAACATTGGCATTAATGGGGAAAATCTCGTCCGTGCCCAATCGAGATTTCCTGTGAATTATCAGTGTCTCCTTCGCTCTTTGGTTGTACCAGACAGCTACGGCCCACACGTACAAGAATTGAACCATCTCTTCCAAATAAGGCTTGCAGTCATCCGCTCCAGTCATATTTGAGAGCTCTTTGGACTTATTCTCGAGGAAACAGAAGCCGTTCTTCTCAATAGTGGGCTTGAAATCCGGTAACGTTCGTATGTCGGTCAGATTGAGCTTCCATTGCACACTCGTCAATATCGTCTGTCTAATTCTCCAACAAATTTTGCCTTGAGCTTACTTCCATGTCTTTCATGGCGAAGTTCGACTTGGGAAACGACTGCCCATCAGGGCCATCCCAGGAATACGGCTTCGCCGTTTTGTGGAGATCAGTTCTCTCAAAGAATGCGGTGACTGCTGCCATGATTGTTAATGGTGGCTGAAAGGATAAATATGCGGAAGCGGTTGCGTGTTATAGAAGTTTGTTCAAAGAAGGGATCAACGGTGCCATCTTCGATGAGAGGCGTCACGGAGCGTACTTATGCCCACCTCAGTGCCGAGCTTGTCATAGACTGGTACGAGGTAAACAGCGTCGTAAAAGCACAAAATGATATGATTAGACAATTGTCCCTAGGTGCAGGGGATAGGGGCCGAGCGGGGAATCCAGGTCGGGCAGATTTGTGCGCTTTTTCGCTGCCGTCTCAATGTCAGATCGCAGTCCCTGCCCTCTGTCACCTCAAAACACCGGCCCGCCGCAACCGACGGCCTCTTGCGATATTATATCAACTCGACTCGGGCGAGACTCCCTCAGCCGAAAAGCCGAAGCACTACACCGGCACCGTCACATTCTCACTATATTCTAGTAGGTGCAAAAACAGCCTTCCTTTCAAGATGTTATCTTTTTCATCATCAGCCGGGCTGTTTTGCCTTGTGATTACGTCATGGATCGTGACAGTCGCGATACTGCGCGCCTTTTACAACCTCTTCTTCCATCCACTGGCAAGATATCCAGGTCCACGACTGGCAGCTATCACCCCACTGGTTCATGTCTACCACTTCGTGAATGGCGATGCTGTTGGTTGGCTCGATAAGCTCCACGCAAATTACGGCGACGTTGTGCGCGTCGAGCCTGGCCGTCTGAGTTATATCACTCCTCAGGCTTGGAAGGACATTTACGGACATGCGACGGCCACTCGCAAAGCCAACTCTAAAGAGAGAAAAAACAGCAAGAATCTCTTCTCCAACGGGAGTTACTCCATTTCGTCCGCTCATGGTCCCGAGCACCAGCGCCTACGCAAAATCTTCAGCAATGCGTTCAGCGACCGAGCCATCACGAAGCAAGAACCTATGCTGGCGCTATATGCACAGCAAATGGCCGAGTTGGTCCGTCGGAAGATCTCCTACGAGGAAACATCTCCTGGAATTGCTGTCGTGGATGCAGTCCAGCTCTTCAACTTCGCTACGTTCGACATTATGGCAGATCTTGCATTTGGCGAGTCACTAGGCTGCCTCGAAAACGGCGGATCAAATGCTTGGGTTGACGCTGTCCAAGTGAATTTCAAGCGAATGATCGTTAAAGCAAGACTGAGGCCTTACCCGATAATCTCATACTTGTGGCACCTTTTCCAGCCGGAACAAGACAAGAAGGCTGCTGCTGTGCACGTTCAGAGCTCGCATGAGCGTGTCACGAAAAGGCTGGCCAAGGGCGCTGATGCCAGGAACGATATCTGGGGACTCGTTCTCAAGGCAGAGGGTCCAAATGCACTGACTCGTACCGAAATGAACAACAATGCCAACAACTTGTGAGTTGCCCCTTGTACCTATCTGGGTCAATGCATAATGGTTACTGACGCACGCGGTTCGCCTTCTCCTGCTTATAGCATGATAGTTGGCACTGAGACATCTGCGACAGCGCTGAGCGCTCTCACATATCTTTTGCTAAAGTGTCCGGGAAAGCTTGAACGACTTGTCCAAGAAGTGAGATCGGTTGGCGACTCGAGCCAGCTCAAAGGCGACGTTCTCAAAGACTTGCCATACCTTCAGGCGTGCCTCACCGAATGCCTCAGGTGTATGAAGAATTGCCAGTCTCTCATTAACATGAATCACAACTGACGAGTCATTCTAGTACATCCTCCTGTCCCGACGGGTGGTATGCGTGTCATTGGTGAAGGGGGCAACACCATCCTCGGTCATCTTCTCCCCGAAGATGTGAGTATCACCTTCTTCAGTACCAACTCATGGCTCTTTTTATGAGGACCCTTTACATGGCTAATTATGTTTATATTCAAGACTAAAATGTCGATCGCGACCTGGACTGTCTTCCGTATCCCTCGGTACTGGAAAGATGGCAACAAGTTCATCCCCGAAAGATGGATTCCAGATGAGCGTGGGTACGATGAGTACCACACATACGACCAACATAGTGTGTTCCAGGTATTTGGGACCGGTCCGCGCGCTTGTATTGGCAAAAAGTAAGTTTTCCGAACGTCTCTTGAAAGGCAATACCACCACATCGATACAAATGAGCTGACCTATTGGATCAGTCTTGCGTTGCAGGAAATGCGGCTCTTATATGCCACCTTTCTGTTCCATTTCGACATGGAATTATGTTCCGAAAGTGACCGATGGATGGAAGATCAGAAGTGTTGGACTTTATGGTTTAAAGATAATCTTCAGATTCGGGTTTCCCATAGGAAAGACGCATGAGGTCACTCTTAAGAAATGTAGTTCATTGTTCACGCAATACATCTGAAAGTGACGTCGATTCAGAATTTCGGCTTAAGTGAGGTGTATGAGGTAAATCTCATCGTTAAATACATTAGGAACGGATTCAATTGAGTAAGGCGAACTAGTGCATGATGTCCTTTTTACCCAGGTGTCGAATGTGGTTCGTCATCTTGATAATATCCTCCCTTTTCTGAGGAATATGATGTCCTCCTTCAAAGTTGATAACATGAGCGGCCTTCGAGGAGTAATGCGTGGCAAGAGTATTTCTCGCCTGTCCCAAGTTACAGTCCTGACTCCCATGAAGATGTAATGTAGGCACCGAAATTTTGGCAATGTCACCGCCCCCTGACTTGTCGCGGATATAATCTGTCGCGACATCACTATAAGCGCAGCAGACCAACACTCCAAACTCCAATCGCGGGAGCCACGGCACCAGTCCCACCTCCTGCTCCCACAGCAAGACCGTACTCGCTAGTCCGCCCTGCGAGAAGCCCAAGACGCCAACAATTTTGACGTGCTCGTTCTCCAGCTGCCAGTCCTGTACCGCCATCTTGATAGCTTCGTTGAACACTGCAACTTCGCCTTCGGTGTCGGTTGCACCCTTGCGAAACCAAGAGTAAAACGACTTCATTCCGGCAAAGAAGGGGAGAACATCTGGGCCGGGGACGGCAACGTGGGGTGCGGTGGCAAACACGAACTCGAAATCCTCTTTGAGAGCTGCACGGAAACCCGCGAGCTGGAAACGGAATATGTCGGGTGAAGCACCGCCGCCATGAATACAGAGAATGGCCCGCGATGGTGACCTTTTCAGTGACGTGACCATTGCCACTGTGATTTGACAGGTATTCCTCTGCGTATGGGTAGAGAGGTGAGGCGGAGACAACAAGCCCTGCCTTAGAGTGTATAAGATTTACGAAAATAATGCAGTGAGCGAGTTTGGTGGGTAAGGTCTTTTGGTGCTGGAAGTTTGAGTGGCTCAGTAGACAGGTGAGGAGAGCAATGTTGGGGAGATATTTATGTGCCCCGATGAGTTTATTGTATCAGATGAAAGAGAGCACAAGCCCACGAAGGCTTTCAACAAGGTACCTGGGCCGATTTCAGCGGGTCCAAGTAGATTTGAGGACGAGAGCACTGAATAACTTTCTCCCCCGACCTTATCGCATCTTACAGCTCGGCTTGATGACCTTGGCCCGCAGACATTGAACAGTTCGCCAGAAGATTCCCAAGTTATGATTACTACTCTGCTTGAGAGAGGCTGGCAGGGCCAGATCGCTCCAATATGCTCGCCTACTTAATTGTCTACATATCAAATTAAGCATTCATGCGTACAACTACTTTCTCTCCAGAGAGGACCTTGTTTCGGACCATTTCCATCCCCGCCAGAATTGCCTCGAATCCACCATCTAAAATACGAAGCGGATGATGTTGCAAGTTTCCTTCGTTGATCAATTTCTCCACAGTCTCCCAAACAGAGACCCCAAAGACACGCAGTTCTTCTGACGGATCGCTCTTATAAGGCTCGGGCCAAGTGCATCCTTCGCCAAAGATCCTAGGACCGACTGTGAAATCTGCGGTGACAACCTTTCGAGTCGCAGCGTGCTGTTGCCAAGGGTCAAGAGACACGTATTTCCCGCCGCCTCGTCCGATAGCAGCGTAGCAAAAGGCTGTAGACTCAACGGTCGTGATGCAGTCCAAGGCATATTTCAGGTTCCCTTTCGTATATGCTTTCTAATTGAAGGACGAACAGTCAGCTATCAGTTGCCTTACGATGACGCAACATGGAGCTTTGCGTTACAACTCACAATCTTTTTAGCCAACTCTTTATCATTGCGATCGAAAACCTCTACAGCCTGGTTTCTTCTCGCCAGGTCGAAGTTTTTCGGGGAACAGATAGCGATCGGATCGAGACCGGAACTGTTCACGACGACTGCGTCAGATCTTTTCTCAAAGACATTGGTGGATGATTTGACTTACAGTTTCAGCATTTGCATGGCAATCGTCGCAGTTGCAGTACTGGCCCCATACACCAAGACATGGGCAGGCTTCGCAACTTCTTGACCAGGCAGAGGCAAGCCAAGTAGCTTCATGGCGATTCCGGCGGTGCTCACGCCTACAGGCAGAGATGCAGCAGCTTCAGTGCTCCAAGACTCCGGGACCTTTGTCCACATCTTACCACGGGTCACGGCGTACTCGCAGAACGCACCACGCTCAGGTGTGGTTCCGTACATCTCGTTCTGGGCACCAAAGACCCTGTCGCCAACCGTGATGTTGTCAACATCATCTCCTACAGCGACCACAGTTCCCGCAAAATCTGCACCTAAGATGCCGAACTTTGTCGCAAAGGCCCCCCTCATCTTGGTATCACTCGGGTTGAGGCCAACGGCCTCAACGCGAACCATGACTTGGTCCGCTGGGATCTTGGGACATGGTGCCTCATCCCAAATGACGACCTCATCTTTGCCATTAACAACAATGGCCTTCTGGGTCGTCGGAGGGACAAAACTTTGATGCGAAAGATTGCCCATGCTGAAGCTTGTCGATGTTGATTTGGAGAATTAGCCTGGAATACCTCGTTTACCTTGTCCTCTGTCTCTGATTCATACCCGTTCGACAACGTCCCCTCACTTACCTACCAGAGAGTCCTCTCCATTGGCATTCTTTAGACAGTCTCAGTTCGTTCACCCACTCATCCACTTTACCTAAACTTGTAATCCTCAACCAGCCCAACTTCTACAGTCTCCCTGGATCGGGAACGCCGCTCCTTCTCGCTAGAACCCTCGGACTTTTACAAGAGAGTATGTAGTCGGTGAGATACAAACCCATTACCCGGATGGATACGTACAGCCGTACGGGCAGACACCCTCGCAAATCTGGGAAAAGCATAACCGGTTGTACCACACATTTGTGGACACGGGGACTCGTGGAGATCACAATAAGTATGGCCGTCTCCTGTACTCCGTAGTCGGTAGGCTGCATCCATAGAATAACGGCTCAAGGAGTTATGGATCCGAATGGGGCCTCTGTGATCTGGATGCAAACTTTGTTTTGACTTTCCTAAAGTGTAGCCTGAATACGTTTTTACCTTTTTGTTGGGCACATTCACGTTACTACGGATACTTCGTAGATGCATCGATCTGATCCCTCCCCTGTTCGTCCAATTCCCAGCCGAGGCCATCCTTGATGATGAAGACAAATCATCGCGGGGTCATTGAAGTCCTGTTGCTGCTGACTACTGAGTAGCTTGGTATGATGTTCTTTGTTACAGCGCCCCTATTCTGATGCATACTACTCTTTAACTTTGCAAGGACCCTAAATCTAGGGTCCATCGAGGACATCTTGAACCTATCAAGTATAGTGTGGAGATATCAATACAAGAGTTTCGGTTGGCTCCGCCGATTATCATGGTAGCGGGATCCTTTCACCTCCACCTCTAAGAATGCCCCAGTTGTTCGAGTACCTGTACTTCTCTGCCCAGGCAATGATCGCATCCCAGTCCTTGCACTGGTGTTGATAACCCCACCCCGTCCCGACCTGTTCGTTGTACTTGCGCCACTCGAGCGTCACATCCGCATTACACATGATAGTCTGTCGTAGGTAATCCCAGCAATGATTGAGATGTTCAGAATTCCAGCCAGGATCTGTGGGAAACTCCCTTTTTGCCGCCTCGTTCTTGTTGAGGCGGCCGATAAGCTCATAGTATGCGTCCATAGTGCTGTACTGTTATGGGGGTAACGTTAAACCGGGGTCAGCAGCGATTCAGTCACCTGGAGAGGCGGGGCTGTGTGCGAAAGGGAGATTGAAGCTATTCGGTGTGACGTACAAGGCAATGGAGTTGATGAAAGACCGATGGATACGCGCGGTGTTCTGGAAGTGATTGATTCAGCCCCGGCAAGTCAGGTAAAGCAGTCTCATTCTTGACCGTAACCCAACCTCGCCCAACTATTGTCAGGTGTCAGCAGTCTGTCGGTTTTCAGACGCAAGGCTAGTTGATAGCCTCCTTGCACGGTCAACCCGGGGAGGGGGAGGGGGCACTTACTCGGCAGCAAGCTGTTCCACGCCTCAATACTTTCAGGGTTTGGAGGCTGGCCGTATAGTTTGTTCCCATGCAAAACCTTTTTCACAGGGACTTATGATACCAAAGTTAGTGTCATATCAGTTATCAAAACAACACGTTGTCTGGTTTGTCTAAACATCCACGCTTCTTTCTAATCATCTTTGTGACTGCCCAGGCAGAGGAGATGGGGTCAACGTACTCTGGGGTGGAAACCACTCTGGTTGCGCTGGGTAAATAACCGTTGCAGGAGCCTCGGGGAGATAGAACGTCGGACCGTGAAATGTGACGAGAATCAAGACCGCCGCAATGGAGATGGCATTCGAAAGTGATAGGATAAGAACGATCAACTGAGAGCGCGGCAAACGACCAGTGGCCCCGGTGGGCCGTCCGCCGTCACAAGGTTCACGAGAATGGAGTAGGCCGGCATTTTCGTCCTCCGTAGTCGAGAGTCTCGGTGTATCAACCATGTTCGTGCCGTTCTCTTCGTTTGAGAAGTCCTTGGCGGATTTCACCATCGTGCTTCCCTGTCGTCAGAAGTGGGTAGTTTGAATGGGGGATATGTTAGTTGTCAGTCTGTCTTCAGAAGTAGTAGGTGTTTTTATAACCGTCTCAGTGGGAAGATCTGCTCGCATTAGGTCAAATCAGGTAAATTCACCGTGGCTAGAATGTTCCTTGCACGCAGACCATACCCGCAGCAGGGTCCCCTCTCATCACATTTGACTGAGCCACATTCATGTACAGTGTTTGGGTGCACTGTAGCACTTACATCCCGATAGAGGCCTTCAAGGCAAAAACGAGATGCTCCGTCAGATTTACCGGTCGACGAAGTCAATCGGAATTCGAGTCACGGAGCTTAAGAACTCATGATAGAAGTCTCTTGTTATTTGAATCGCAGAATGTTTTCTACTTAACTCGTGCTCCTCCCACTCGCTGACTCATTGCTTCCGAGATATTCATCCAAGTCTTTCATTTCGGCTTTTTTCCGATCATTATCAGCGTCATGTCGCCGAACGAGCCCATTGTTGTTGTTGGAAGTGCATGCCGGTTTCCGGGCGGTGTTGATAGCCCAGCAAGGCTATGGGAACTCTTGAAAGAACCGAAAGACTTGCAATCTGAAGTTCCAAAAGAGAGGTTCAACATCGACGCATTTTACCATCCCGATGGTTCTCACCATGGGAGAACCAATGCTCGCCATGGATACTTTCTCGACGAGACACCCAGGGCTTTTGATGCGTCGTTCTTCAACATCCAAGCCGGCGAGGCGGAGAGCATAGATCCGCAGCAGCGGTTGCTTCTGGAAACTACCTATGATGCTGTAGCCGCGGCTGGATACGGTCTACATGATCTTCGTGGCTCTGATACCGCAGTTTACATCGGCTTGATGACGCACGACTTTGAGCTTGTCAAAGTCAACGACATAAGCTACAGCCCAACGTACTTCGCCACGGGTGCCGCCACAAGTATCGCGTCGAACCGTTTGTCATTCTTCTTTGACTGGCATGGTCCAAGTGTAAGTCATGCTTCATAGTTGAATCGACGGCTGCTATGTCAATGTTCTGAAGCTAATCATGGTTACAGATGACTATTGATACTGCATGCAGTTCCTCTCTAGTGGCGGTGCATCTTGCGGTGCAACAGCTGAGGAGCGGATCGAGTAAGATAGCCATTGCAGCTGGCTCCAATTTGATCTTGTCACCAAGTACGTGCACTATCTTTATTGGAAGATGAATGATTTGGAAAGACTCACACTGCATCTTTCATAGTGAACTACATCACGGAGAGCAAGCTGAACATGCTTTCACCCACGGGTAGGTCCCGAATGTGGGATGCTGCAGCCGATGGGTACGCGAGAGGTGTAAGTCTTATCCTCCTCTGCCTATTGTACACGACCTATGAGATCATGATCGCGGAATAAAAGATTGACTCGATTATCGAACTTTCACTGACAATGCATGCGATGTTCATCAACAGGAAGGTGTCGCTACTGTGGTTCTGAAGACGCTTAGCCAAGCACTGCTTGACGGCGACTCCATTGAGTGTGTCATCCGTGAAACGGGCATCAACCAAGACGGACGCACAACCGGCATCACGATGCCGAGCCACGTTGCTCAAGAGACCCTCATTCGCGAGACTTATGCCCGGGCTGGTCTAGATGTTGCGCAAGCTGAAAATCGCTGCCAATTCTTCGAAGCCCATGGTAGGTACCAAGCATGAGTCTATAATTGAAACGTTTGCTCACCCCTAACTCACAGGAACGGGAACGCCAGCGGGTGATCCTCAGGAAGCTGAAGCAATCTCGAAAGCTTTCTTCGGCAGCCAGGATAGTGCAAACAGTGAGCGCTTGCTTGTAGGAAGTCTCAAGACTGTCATCGGCCACACCGAGGGCACTGCTGGTATTGCCGGGTTGTTGAAGGCCTCACTTGCTGTACAGAATGGCGTTATTCCTCCAAACTTACTGTTCGAAAACCTCAGTCCCAAGGTTGCGCCCTTCTACAAGAACCTCTCTATCACGAAAGAGGCCCAGCCGTGGCCAGAACTTAAGCCTGGTCAACCGCGCAGAGCGAGTGTAAATTCGTTCGGTAAGCTCTCCATTCACGCCGGGTCTAGACGTCCCGGACAATGTTAACGAAGAGAAGGTTTCGGTGGCACCAATGCCCACGCTATTATTGAGGAGTACAAGGCCTCGACTTCAAGCACGGAACCGACGTCGAAGCCAGAATCTCAGACTATTTCAACAGCATATGCCTTGCCTCTCGTACTTTCTGCCAAGTCAGAGCGTTCCCTGAAGAGCCTGATGAAGCAGACTGCTCAGTTCATCAAATCCAGCCCTGATGTCGACATGCTTGATCTCTTTTGGACGCTCCTTCGCAAGCGATCCATTCTACCTTACCGCCAGACTGTCGTCGGATCTTCCAGAGAATCTATCACACTCGCGTTGGAAAACGCCATCTCGGAAAACGCCAGCTCAGAGCCCAGCTTGCGCTCCTTCACCACCAGCCAGGAGAAGCCTCGTCTTCTGGGTGTGTTCACTGGCCAGGGTGCTCAATGGCCCGGCATGATGAGATCGCTCATCCCGGCGATTACTCATGTTCGCGACATCGTGGCTGAGCTTGATCACTCGCTTCAGACGTTGCCCGCCGAATACCGCCCTTCTTGGACCTTGTACGAGCAATTCTTGCTCGAGGATGAGGCCTCCAATGTTACCAAAGCCAGCTTTTCTCAACCGCTCTGCTGCGCTGTACAGATCGTTCTGGTGCGGCTATTGGCAGCTGCTGGTGTTGAATTCACCACGATAGTTGGTCACAGTTCAGGCGAGATAGCTTGCGCTTTCGCTGGAGACTTCATCAGCGCCTCGCAGGCCATCCGCATCGCTTACCTCCGAGGCCTCACATCCAAGTATGCAAGCTCCCCGAACGGAGGTGAGGGAGGGATGCTTGCGGTAGGAACTTCTTTAGAGGACGCACAGGAGCTCTGCGAATTGGAAATGTTCCAAGGCCGCATCTGTGTTGCTGCCAGCAACTCGCCAGACAGCACCACCATTTCCGGTGATGCAGATGCCCTTGCAGAATTGCAGACTATCCTGGAGGATGAGTCCAAGTTTGTCCGCATGCTCAAGGTCGATAAGGCTTACCATTCACACCACATGATCCCTTGTTCGTCGCACTATATCAAGGCTTTGAAAGACTGTGACTGCGATGTCGCTGATGGGGCCGGTTCTTCAGTGGCATGGTACTCCTCTGTGCATCAAAACAGACGCATGAAGGCAAGCGACGTCACCGCCGAGTACTGGAATGACAACTTAGTCTCTCCTGTTCGCTTCATGCAAGCTGTTGAGGCCGCCGCGATCGAGCATAAATCCCTCGATGCCGCCATTGAGGTGGGCTGCCACCCAGCTTTGAAGGCACCTTGTCTAGCAACCCTGAAGACTGTTCTCTCGGAGGAAATGCCCTACACTGGCTGTATGCAGCGTGGTTCCGATAACGTTCAAGCTTTTGCCAGTGCTGTTGGATATCTTTGGGAACGCCTGGATCTGAATGCCATTGACCCTGACAGCTTCATCACCAAAGTGATTGCGCCAGGAAAGAGTCTTCGAAGCCTATCCAAGGCCCTGCCACGGTACCCCTGGGACCACAGCCGGACTCACTGGAACGAGACACGCGCGATCAAGGCTCATCTCCACGGTCAAAAGCCTCATCTCCTTCTAGGCTCCCTCTCAGCCTCAAGCACCGTTTCAACATCGCAATGGCACAACACCATACGGCCTAGGGACCACGAGTGGTTGCAAGGTCACGCGCTTCAAGGACAGGCTGTGTTCCCCGCTGCTGGATACATCGTTATGGCAATGGAGGCTGCTCTTCAGATGGCTGGGGGACGCTCCGTTCAGCTCCTCGAGGTACTTGATATGAGCATTGATAAAGCTGTTACTTTCGAGGATGAGAACAGCCCGGCAGAGCTCATCGTCGCGGTGGACACCATTGTCTCTCAGCCCGACCAGATCAAGTTCAGCTTCACGATTGACTCTTGTCTAGCCAAAGAATCAAAGCCGTCGACATCTGCCACCGGTCAGCTTGTCGTCACATTCGGGGACTCTTCTTCAAATGTCCTGCCACCCTCAAACGACGATCCCCCGCACCTTACGACAGTCAACATCAAAAACTTCTACCGTGAACTAGATGAGCTTGGTTTCGATTACAGCAAGGACTACCGCTGCATCTACAACCTTGGGCGCGCAGATGCGAAAGCCACTGGCGTCATGGCCTTCCCGCGTCTGGATGATGGATCTCGTCCGATCGTGTTGCATCCAGCTTCTATGGACTTGGCGTTCCAGACCATCATGGGTGCCTATTCAGCACCAGGAGATAAGCGCCTGAGATCCATCTATGTGCCTGTTCACATTGACCGAATCAGTCTCGTTCCCGCGCTCTGTGCTTCTGTTGCCGAATCTGATTCAGCTCCTATTGTTCACTTCAACACGGAAAACACGTACGACAAGGGTGACGTTTTGGCTGGAGATGCCACGGTCTTCTCCTCAGGCGAAGATAAACAAGTTCTCTACCGCATCGAGAACCTGCTCTTGCAGCCACTATCCAAGCCATCGGAGGCTGAAGATCATAAAGCCTTCACCAAGACAGTATGGGGCCCCTTGAAGCCCGAAGCACTCCTGGACAACCCGGACCTCTGGGCTACTGAGCAGGACAAGCAGGTGATCCCCATCATTGAGCGTATCTGCTATTTCTATATGAAGGACTTTGTCAGCCAGCTCACGGAAGAAGACCGCGTCAACGCTACACTGCCTCACCAGAGATATATCTACTGGAATGAGCACGTCTCGGCCAAGGTGAAGGAGGGAACCTGGCATGAGTGGTATGATCCATCTTGGGAGTCAGATACGCGCGAGCAGATCGAGCAGTTGGTTGTAGAGTAAGTTTTCCAACAGTACTCTAGTTTTGGCACTATTTGTTGCTAATCACGCATGCTGCAGGAACTCCTACCACCCTCACGTCAAAATGGCGAAGAGAGTGAGCGAAAACACTCTCTCGACCATTCGTGAGAAGAGCAACCCGTTCTTGTGGATGGATCACGACGGATTACTGACGGAATTCTACACGAGCTACTTGACTAGTGGTCCTGGCTGGCTTTACGGCCAGGAACTTGTCAGCCAGCTCTGCCATCGCTACCAGACGATGGACATCCTTGAGATTGGTGAGTTGGCCCTTGAAAGCCTACCATTATGAATTGTTCGGTTCCGTGCTGACAGTCCTGCTCTAAAGGTGGTGGTACCGCTTCAGCAACAAAATACATCTTGGACATCCCGCAGTTGGGCTTCAACAGCTACACGTTCACCGACATTTCCCCAGCGTTTTTCGAAAAGGCCCAAGAGCACTTCTCAGCACATGAGGATCGCATGATCTTCCAGAAGCTGGACATCACCAAGAAGCCTGAAGAGCAAGGTTTCAAGCCGCACTCGTACGACATGATCATCGCCTCTTCTGTCCTCCATGCCACCCCGAAGCTGGCAGAGACGATGGCCAACGTACGGTCTCTTCTGAAGCCTGGTGGCCATGTCGTTCTGCTTGAAGCAACTCACCGGGACCACACCCGTGTTGGCTATCTGTTTGGTTTATTCCCGGATTGGTGGGCCGGAATGGATGAAGGCCGTGATCTGGACCCCTTTGCGGACATCAACCAGTGGGATTCCATCTTCAAGCAGACTGGATTCTCCGGTGTCGATACCCGCACGCTGGACCGACATGGCAATCTATTCCCCAACACTCTTTTCTGCACACATGCGGTCAATACAAAGGTCGCGCGTCTCGACGCGCCGCTTTCCGCTCCTCCTGCCGAAAAGGCACTTCCCCAAATAGTCGTGATTGGCGGGGGCTCAACGAAATCAGCTCGGATCTTGGATGAGGTGCGAAAGACGTTGCCTGACCGGGAGATCGTTTCTCTCAAGCGGATTGAAGACGTCCTCGAGTCGAGTATTCCACCCAAGTCGACGTTCCTTGTCCTTTCGGAGCTCGATCATGAGACCTTCTCTGGCATCGATGAGGTCAGATTCAGCGCAATCAAGTCCCTCCTGGAGCTCGCCGGCACAATCCTCTGGCTCACTGAAAACGCATGGATCGAGAACCCCTACCAGGCCATGACAGCCGGTATGCTTCGATCCGCTCGCCTCGAGTACCCCGCCACCCACAACCAGTCGCTTGACGTTGACGACGCCGACAAGTTGGACACCAAGTTCCTAGTCGAGCAACTTCTTCGCCTCGAGGAGCCTACAGGGTCGAAGGAAGACATCCTGTGGACACTGGAGCCCGAGGTGTACGTTTCCAAGTCTCGTGCCTACATTCCTCGCATCAAGCACGATATCCAGAGGAACAACCGTCTCAACTCGAAGCGTCGTGCCATCACGGCCCCAGTTGACTCTCGTCAGACACCCGTGACCCTACTGGCGTCGGAAGACACTCTGCATTTGGAGTCATCAGAGACTTACGGTACAGACTCCTCCGCGGAGACGGACATGCAAGTCAAGGTAAACTTCTCCCTCGGAAACGCTGTTCGTGTGGGCGATCTCGGATTCTGGCATCTCGTGCAGGGTACTATCGTTGGCACAGACAAGACAGTCATTGCGCTTTCGACTACCAACGCGTCCATCGTCCACGTTCATTCCAGTCATGCCTTTGTTCTTCCAGCATCTGAGGGCGTTGCTGACAATGCTTCTGCCCTGCTTTCAACTGCCGCGAGGCTTGCTGCTCAGAGAATCTTCAATGGCATCGCTTTCGGCGCGTCGATTCTCCTCATGGAGCCGCCAAGCTTCTGCGTCGAGGCCATTGTTGAAGCAGGAAAGAGCAAAAACGTGCAGGTTCACCTCGCGACAACCAGAGCCTCATTCTCTTCCTCGTTGCCATGGATCCGTCTGCACTCCCTGGAGACCGATGCGGGCATCAAGAAGGCTCTGCCTGTGAACCTCTCGGCCTACTACGATTTCTCAGACGAAGTGAGCTTCATCAACAGCTTGGGCTCTCGTGTGGCCAACCTTCTGCCTCCCGTTTGCCTCAAGTTCAACCGCGGTCACATCTTCCAAAGCTCTGCTGAATCCATTTCTTCTCTTGAGCAAGATGCATTGCAGCGACCGTTGGTTGAGCAGGCAGTTGCTGCGGCTGCGGCAGAGGTGCCACAAGGCGCCGCTTCTTCTGAGACCGATGAAGAGTCTATCGTGAGATCCGTCGGCAGCATTACCGACTTGAAGGAGGCGCTTGCTACCTCAACCATTATCGACTGGAGAACCGAGACTCGTGTGACAGCGCGAGTCCGCGCCGTTGACTCGGGCAAGCTGTTCTCCCTCGACAAGACGTACCTTCTCCTGGGTCTCGCCGGTTCTCTGGGTCGGTCTTTGGCTCGCTGGCTCATCACGCACGGTGCCCGCCATGTCGTGATCTCCAGCCGTAACCCCGAAACCCCTGACCCGAAGTGGCTGGCAGAGATCGAAAACTTGGGTGGCATTATCACCGTTCTGTCCATCGATGTCTCCAAGGAAACCTCCATCGATGCTGGGCTCGCTCAGATTCGACAGACGCTGCCACCCATTGGCGGAATCGCGTATGGTCCGTTGGTACTTCACGATGCTCTCCTTGCGAGCATGGACCTTTCAATGATGAACGTGCCCGTCAAATCCAAGGTCGTCGGAGCGCAGATTCTACACGAACGCTTCTCGAGCCAGGCCAAGGATCCCCTTGACTTCTTCGTCATGTTCTCGTCGGTTGCGACGGTGGGAGGCAACCCAGGTCAGGCCAACTACACAGCCGCGAACTCATACCTTCAAGCCCTCGCTCAAAAGCGTCATATCCAGGGCCTGCCCGCATCGACAATCGCGATTGGCGCCGTTATTGGTGTCGGATTCTTGTCACGTACCGGCAGAGAGGAAGAATTCAAGCTCGCTTCTGACACAGACACGATCTCGGAAGACGAGTTCCTCACCCTCTTTGCCGAGGCGGTTGTCTCTGGAAGGCGAACCCCAGGCTCCCAACCGGTGGCCATTACAGACATATCCGATCTTGAGGTGATCACTGGTATTCCCGAGTTCAGTGCCCGGCACAAAGACACCGTTAAATTTTACGACGACCCGCGATTCGGAAACCTAAAGGTTCCCGAGAGCCGCGCCAACACGGATGGCGCCTCGGGGGCTCAGAGCTCTGTCAAGGAGCAGCTGCTGAAAGCAAGGACACTGGATGAGGTTCGCGATATCATCATCGGTAAGAGCCCTCCCCTATCATGCAGGGAATTGGAGTATAAGAAGATGCTAACTTGATCAACAGATGGCTTGTCGCAAAAGATGCGCGGAATCCTGCACATTCCTGCCGATGAGAAGGTCAACGCTACGACACCGTTGATTGATCAGGGCGTGGACTCGCTTGGTGCAATCACCGTCGGCTCATGGTTAGCATTTGTTCACTTGCCTTCATTTCAGGATACGCTGGCTGACGTGTGCAATTTTCAGGTTTTCCAAGACACTCATGATCGACATCCCGCTGCTGAGGGTTGTCAGTGGTGCTTCAATCGCTGAACTTGCTGAGGAGGCCGCAGGACGACTCTCAAGAGCCGCCATTCCTCTAATCGAATCTGCCGACGGCATCGTCAGTAGCGAGGATGATAGCCGCAGTGGTAGCGACTCGCCCATTGACACGTCGAATGCCACATCAATCTCAGATTTGAGGGGTGACGACGTCGTCTTGGAAGACAAGGCGGCCACTTCGCGTCAGATCCCGCTGTCTCTCACCCAGGAGCACTCGTGGAAGCTCCTTCAGCAACTGTCCGATGAGCCGGCCATCTTCCACAACACGATCGGTGTGTTCATGAAGGGTTCAGTAGACCTGGATCGACTTGAGAAGGCCCTGAACAAGTCCCTCCGCCGTCATGAGATCTTCCGCACAGCCTTCTCGCCTGAGGGAGAGCAAGTCATCCTGCCTGCCCCAGTCATCCGCGTGCGCTATGTCGAGGTCAGTGACAGGGCGGCAGCAGAGGAGGCCTACAAGCAGTTGGAGAATGAGGAGTACAATCTTGCTGCAGGCGAAGGCCTCAAGATTGTCGACTTCCACTGGGCCCAGGACGAGCATCTGTTCGTCATCGGCTATCACCGCTTGGTGGGCGACGGCTCGACGACGCAAAACTTCCTCGACGAAGTTGGCCAGCTTTACGATGGCGCGCAACTTTCGGCACCGCCGCAGTACTCCAACTTCGCCGCGCGGCAGCGATCTGACGTTCAAAGCGGCCAGATGGACGCCGACATCGCGTACTGGACCTCCATGTACAAGACCCTTCCAGAAGTCCTCCCAGTCTTGTCGCTCCCCAACGCCCAGAAGCAGCGAGATGCGAGCAACCGCGTTGCCTGGAAGCAATACGTCGGCACGCTTCGTCTAAGCGCGATCCTGGCCTTCCGCATCCGCGAGCGCTGCAAGAAGCTCAAGGGCGTGACACCCATGCACTTCTACCTGGCAGCTTACCACCTGCTCCTCGCGCGCCTCTCGGCTGCAGAGGACGTGGCCATCGGCATCGCCGACACCAATCGCGCCAGCATCCAGGACGTCTCAACCATGGGCTTCTTCGCCAACCTGCTCCCCGTCCGCCTCGCGCCCTTCGAGCCGGCGCAGACTTTTGCCGACGAGCTCGAGTCCGTCAAGGAGCGCCTGCGGCAGGCGATGCAGCACGCCCGTGTCCCCTACGGCGTCACGCTGGACCGCCTCGGCCTCGCGTCCTCGTCGGCGGAGCTGCCGCATGCGCCGCTGTTCCAAGCCGTCTTCGATTACAGGCAAGGTGCCGCGGAGACTGGACGTCTCGGCGGTGCTTCATTTACGGAGATTTGGGCTTCGCGCGAGCGCACGCCGCATGACGTTGTGCTGGAGATGTCGGACGATCCGGCCAAGGAGCCGCTGGTCACGGTCAAGCTGCAGAGTTATCTGTACGGAGAGCAGGATCCGAAGGCATTCTTGAGTGCCTATGAGGCGACCCTGACTAGCTTCTCGGAGAATACAAAGCTGGCGGTCGCCCAGGATTGAGGAGTTCGCTAGTGTTGTGTAGTAGGAGGTTCTCCCGAAGAAGTAGGCTTTGCAGGTCCGCTTGTCTGATAGGAACCAATGCACGAATCTACTTTTTTTTATATCAATGCCCGCATAAACCTGATTTTGAGACTCGAGAAATACTTTGGCCTAACTCTGATGTGAAGGTGCGGTTCGATGCTGAATTGTCGCCTCGCATCAACGTTGCTACAGCGCGTCAGATTCAGCATGCGTCTGCCGTGCCGCCTGACTTCCATTGGCATTGTACAAAGTACAGCTTGTCAACCCCATCGTTGTCTTTAAGAGATCGGTCTAGGCCGAGCTGTGTTGAAGCCTTAAAAGGCCTGTAATCAGTCTGCAGCCCGAAAGAAAGTGGCCTCTTCTCCAGAGATGGTCAATTATTGACAAGCCGATTGCAGTATTGCCAATGACTGTATTGTTGTCGAGGCTGAGGCCGACTCCAAAAACCACTCAACCCCTCCCACCCATGGAAACCCGCATATCCAATGCCCACCCAAACTCCACAATCACAATATCACCTTACCTAAAGGAGGACTCTGGGCTCCGCAACTTTGCAGAATCGCGCACAGAAAACACACATCTTGAAGACCTCATAATCAGCCTCTCAATCTCGATCATCAATCATCCCTGCATCCTAGGATACAGGTGATGCAGGGCTGCTGGCGCAACGGTAGCGCGTTCGACTCCAGATCGAAAGGTTATCCGTTCAAATCGGGTGTGGCTCATTTTCTTTTGCTCTTTGTGAAGCTATCACGAAGCTTATCGTTTTGCTAGTGTTGACAAAGGTTTGGGTGATGGTAGTTGTGTGTGAGAGACAGGAGCGGGCCTTTTTTGACGTGGGAGAGGAAGATGTGCGGGGAGGATTTGCACAGCGCTTGCCTTCCTGTTATGTTTTTGTTCCGATTCTCCAAGCGCCCAAGTACATGTAGCAGATGGACATATCGAGAAGATCTTCAGCAGATAAGACTTGCATGGAAGCGTCTTTGATGAATTATAAGCGTATGCTACAGTCAAGGCCTTTTTCATGTACCTGTAGTCTCCTATTCTCATTCCAGGCATTTTCGCTGAAGCACCGAGGTAGCGGCGGAACAAAGTCGAGTTTGTCTTCGTATTGTGCAGCATATTGAGAAAATGGATCATCGAATCCTCAATGTCCTCTTCGCTAACAGTTTCCAGGCAGCGTCAATATATATATATATATATATATATTACAGGCGATATTATTGCTGAATTACTCCAATAGTCAAAAATACGACCAGAGTATGATCAGTTGGAAGAAGCATGACATCAAAGATGCGGTAAAACGACTTCAGAAGACGGGGACCAAGGGGTTTTGAAGACAACATCGAAGGCGAGAAATCCCCGATTGATGATTTTCTAATTCCACATTGGTCCAAGAATTCCACAAGGACAGTCATCGTATATAAACTGTCTTTTGAATATTGCAAGTCTGGTTTCCGGGTTGGGCCATGAATTCTATCAAGCATGGCGTTGACATGTCGTCGGCTGACCGGGATGAATAGTCACAGCAACTATCACCAATTCCTGCTTGAACTAGCAACCATCGCTCATCCAAGAAAAATGAAATTGAAGGTGACCTGATGATTAGGATAAGACACTGACTGAATACCTTATTCACCAACCCACCGCCTCAACACCATCACCTCACACGCTCCTTCCCCCTCAGGCGCCGACTTCATCTAAAGATTTTCGTAAGCTCCCCCATGAGAGAGGCTGAACTTTTGCAATTTGATCATAATGAATTGTTATTTTTTATTCTTGCTTTTTGCTCAGTCCAGGCAGTCAACATGTTGCGAGCCTCTCACCATATGCTAGGAAGAAGGAGGGTCATCCCACAAACTCGGTATTTGGACCAGCTGCCCAAGTCTGTATGGGTGGTTGCTTTACTAACCTGGATTGAGCAAGATGGCCTAGGAGAACACGGCCGTGTGCAGTGGATTGCTCTACATAAAGGAAGTAGGAATCGCGATGTGGGTTGTTATTCCTCCTTCCCACGTGAGTAGAACGTGGCCGGTGTTCATCACCCGGTCTCAGATGAGAGAAGGCCGCAGTGATGGCGATTGTGCAAAAAGCTGAAGGTGACTTTAGTAGCCGAAGGCGACCTAGGAAGGGAACTGCCTGGACGGACGGATGACGGAAGAAGCGCCTCAAGTGCATTCATCTCTGTAAGAAACATATCATTGAACAAGTTCTGGTATATACTCGTAACACTTTATTATGCTCCCAAGACGCCGTTGCTATGTCTGCAAAGACCTTCAAACTCCAAGTATGCCCGACAATGCCATCTCCCCTCGTGGCGACCATGGCGTGATCTCGTGAACGCCACCCGAGCTGGCCGGGCGGGCAGAAATATAATAAACCATAACATGCGTTACAATGCAGAAGTCGTTCTCGCTCCTGAAGTGCACAAAACTCCATCATCGCCAAGAAATGCAGTCCTTCAGTGGCGTCGTCTCTTGGACTCGTCAATCTCTTCACCCATTTCCATTGGGTTCGCGGGATCAATGTAGGCCGACAGTCTAGTATCACCCCACCGAGCGCCAACAGTTACCCAGACACCCTTGATAAAGCTGTTGCCCATGACGGTCTCGCGATGGCCTCCCCAGCGCAGTCTGTGGTCACGGTCCATAGCGCTGTTACCCAGACCGCCATTTGTGACCCATTCCTTAATTGCGTTCTTGATGAATTCAATCTTGCGACGGAAGTCGTTAGCGACGGGAATTCCCTGCAGTTCGGCAGGAATCTCCGGACGCCGGCGTGATGTTGTAGTCGGGCGACTAGAACGGGCTGCCGAGGGCTTTGTCTGGAAGTTCAACAGCGTTTGCAGGGGGTAAGACAGCATGGCTCTCTCGTCAAGAGCGGCGGCACCCAGGCTGCCAGTAGTTGCAAGGTTCTGCGCCGCATCCATTGGAAGGTGCCAAAAGTGACACCAGGTTCCTGCGGCGTTTAGAACGATCTTGGTGTGATCAGGGAAGTTGAACTGTTAGTCTGTTAGCCATGTCACGTCACGTTACTGTTGTGCGACTTGAGCTTACCTGAAGGTGGCCGTCGCCAAAGACCCAGCAGCCAACATCACCGAAGCGTTGGTAGAATGTGACCAGATCAGAAGGCTGAGAGTTGTTGACAGAGAACTCCATTGGCCGAGTAACAGTTTCCTCAGCAGGGGCTGGCTCATCTCTGCCATAGGCAATCATGTAGTTGGCAAACTTTTTCCAAAGAATCACGCGCTCTCGCTTTCTGTGCTCATAAACATCTTTTCCGGGGTTCAGCTTCCCAGGAGTTCCGTCTTCGTAAACCGGCACGCGGAACTGCTTCGAGGAGACAGAGACTCGAGTGAGACCTGACTCGCCGTTGTTCTCGTAGAAATGAATGTCTTGCTTGGGCGGCAGTGGTTGATGTCTCTCGGGGTACGACTCGTCGTGACGTCGCTCAATGTGTCGCTCAGCATCACGTACAAGCATGCAAGCCGAAGGTAGTGTCAGAGTCTTGCTGGCCTCGGTCGTAGGAATGTCTCTCAAAATGCACCCAACACCACCATCATTCAAGATATAGCCAAGACCGAACTTGTTGGTGTAGTCGACCCACTTCACGACAACGTTAGGATGAGGCGGGGTGGTGTCCTTGGAAGAGATGATGGCCATTGTTCGAGCGTTGAGGGCGCGCTCCAATTCTGTTTGTAGCCTGCGAAGTCGCTCAAGAATGACATCCGGCTTCGAGCCTGCTACCGGCTCCGCAGGTTCAGCTGGACTGAACAGTGATGCTCTCTCATTTTGGTCGGAAGAGATCTTGAGATTCTCCAACAGCCCGGTCATGGTGACTGTGGCTTGGTTCGAAGACTGAGACGACATGGCTTGGGATGACATGGCTTGAACGGGTAGAGCACCTGCCGACTGTGATGTCGGCAGCGGTGTTCTTCGCGCACTTGACTTCCTCAATGGAGCTTCCGCAAGCTGGTTTGTCCGAGACTCGGGCGCACTATGCTGTCTGACGGATCTCGGGCGAGGTGCTTCTACAGATTGGAGAGGTTGGGCGGGGGCTTCGGCAGGGGGCCGGGGTCTGGCAGAGCCGGCAGAACCAGCCATCACCGGAGGTCGGTTCTGTGCTCTTTGTTGAGCCGCGAAACTCTGGGGAGGTTGACGCAACAGGCCTGTCGGCGCGGTCTGCGAAGTTGTCAATTGAGACTCCGAGGTCGGATCAGGACGCGAAGACGCTGAGGCGGCAAGAGCGCGAGCATGTCGCTTCTCGCGAAGCCAATCGTCAAATGGCCTATACACAACATCCTCTCCTAAGGGAATCATGGGAGTTAACCCGGACTTCTCCTCGGCAGCCATTTCCTTCCATGTCTGAGTGTGAACGACCTGTACTGGTGTCCATGGACCAACGCCGCAGTCTCTGCACATGTCCTCCATGTTTTTCTTGGTGGCCGCTTGCAGCTGGGCACTCATGCGGTTGGTGTAGAATTCCGAGCCGTCGGGAGGCAGAGTGAGGAGTCTGGTCGTGATATCGGCCTCAACAGGGAAGTAGCCACAAGTGAAAAAGGGATGTTGAACGATGATGTCTGGATCGGGTCTCATATCCGCGTCCTCGAGCATAGTGGCTACACAGTCCTTGGCCTCCTCGCTGATGTACTTTTGCGTCGTCTCCGGGTTCGGCCATTCGTAGTCTCGTTCTCTCGCTCGGCGATAGATTTCTTCGGTGCTGGTCGACTGGAAGGGCGGCTTGGATGTCAACATGGCAAACCTGGTTCGGTTAGTAACGACTCTGGAAGCATGTTCAAATCGACGAGAACTGACATGATGATACCCAAGCTCCAGATATCAACCTGGTGGTCATGGCCCTTCTTTCCCTTCTGGAGAATTTCGGGTGCGATGTAATTGGGCGTGCCGCACAGAGTTGTCCTTCTTATGGTCTGCATATCGCGGCCGGTAACGAGCAAAGCAGCCAGTCCAAAGTCGCCAACCTTGGCGTTCATTCGGTGGTCGAGGAAGATGTTACCCATCTTCAGATCTCGGTGAATGATACCCTTTCCATGCATGTACTTGATGGCTCCGGCGACTTGCACAGAGTAGAATCGAACCTCAGGCTCCGTCAGCCCCTTGCGCTTCTTGACCATGTCCATGAGAGAACCGTTGGTGCAGAGCTCGAGAACGAGGTACATGCAGTCATGGAAAGAGAATGCTCTGAAGAACTGGACAATGTTCTTCTGGTTCATCTTCGAGTGGATCTGGAGTTCGGTTTGGAACTACGGGTCATGTTAGACTTGAGCCTGAAGAGGAAAATAAAGCCGTAATGTGCTGACCTTTTGCATCATCTTGGACGGCATTTGACTCCGCACAATCTTCAGCGCGTACTTTTTGCGCTCCGGCAGGAGGTATCCTTGGTAGCACACAGCAAAGCCACCCTTGCCGAGCATTCTCCCGACCTGGTAGACGGCTCCATTGGGACGGTCGTTGGCCGGTGGCTCGTCGATACTCGCGGGTGGTACCGGTGGTGGCTCCTTGTCCTTTGCAGCCTTGAGCTGGGCGACAGGCTTCGACGTCTTCATTTCAATGGCCTTAGGCATACGCTGAGCGTTGGCGTCCCTAGGCGACAATGCCTCCAAATCGAGGCCCCCTTTCGCCACTAGTCTATGGGCCATGACTGTGGCCTCGGGCTTTCTGGTAATCGATGCAGGTTTGAGAGGAGTGCGGCTCTCAAAAGCGACGGGCGCTGAAATGCGAATTCAAGGTCGGCCCAGGGTTGTGAAGAGGAAAGGCCTGTTGCGAGCTTCTGTCAGTACACTTGGGGGACCGAGAAAAATTGGAAGGAGGTATAGCAAAGTGTGTAATATTGAAGACTTGGAAAGAAAGGACGGAGCGCAGCCCATGTGCCGTCATTTGCATCATCAAGTGCAAATGACCACAACCACAGCCGAGCGGGCAAGGCAAGCAGGAATAACACGGACGAGGGTTGTTTACGTACCGGTCTCTCAAAGAGATAGATCATGTGCAGTAAATTGCAGATGCGTAAAAAACGAAGCTCGCAAACAATACCAGAGCCGACTGTGAACTCACGACTGCTGACGAGACGAGAACGTCGCAGAGTACTTACCACCTCTGAGTGTCGAGAGTTGTCGGGATGATGTGCCGTTGAGACGAATAGTAAACTTTTGGTAATGGAGGTGGAGTGAAGGACCGGGTTGGTGTGTACCGGCGCTGTTGACCTTCGCTTCGCGCCGTTGCCTGGGAAACTACGCTCTGAAAGCGCTGTGGGGAACAACTAAGACTGGCCGATGTTACTCCACAACGAACCTCTTTTTGGCACCTCAGTCAAAATGAAGGAGCGCCTTAGGTAAGCAGGATCGAACCACCACCAAACAGGTCATCTTTACTTTGCGACCTTGGCATGTTTTTCACTTTTGTGATCCCAAAGGATGATCTAGATTCATTTCTGTGGCTTCATCTCTTCCTACTCATGATTCAATCACTGCTTCAAATGCAGCTTAGCCAAATGAACAGGCCTGCAGACAGCCCTGCTCAGAATCAGGAGCTTGGGAAATAGCACTCCGGCTGGCCGGGGTCTGCTAGACCTGTCGGCTCCGAAGGTGGAAATGAGCGGAATATCAAATCAGCGCCCTCCGACTTATTCCCCCGGGACACCCCTCCAGCAGCCCCAAATGTCGAACATCGGCGTCAGCTGCCTAGAATGACTCCGATAAACCCGGATCACCAAGCGTTTTGACATTTGAAAGGGACCAACATTTCAAATAGCTCTTTTCTCTTTTTTTGCCTTCAATTGGCCATTGAATGCTTCAATTGACTGGAAAAGTAAACCGCCAAGACGAGACCAAGCAAAGTAGTACGGAGCTCTCGGAGCTCTCTCCCGTCCAACCCTTCCGTCACTCATTCGACCCTCGACCATAACCCCACCATGGTGCCATTACCTCTCTTCAAGCTCGCCGCACTCTTTGTGCGGCACATTTCCAAATATGGTGCCGTAAGTTGGATGTCTCCTACCTTCTCCTTGATGTTCCGAAACACTGTCCACTCCTCCCGGCCACGAAGCTAATCTTTACATCGTGAACAGAACCAAATAAAAGCTCAAGCCCACGATCACCCCAAGTTCCGCGCCTTCGCCGCACGCTATGGCCAACACATACACCAGCTCAATATGCGCCTATCGGTAGCCCTTCTACGCAACCCAGACGCCGAGCAACGCGCAAAGGAAAAAGCCGAGGCGGCGACTGTCAAGACGAAAGAACAGGTTGAAAAGGAGGAAGCCAAAGCTCTGAAGGCCAAGCTCGCAGCTGAGAATGCCGAACTTGCAAAGTCAAAAACCTCAGACTCCATATCAGCCTCCGCGACTCAGACCTCGTCATCCTCCTCTGCCTCTGGTAATAGCAGCAGCAGCGGTAGTAGCAGTAGCAGTAGCTCGACAAAAGAACGCCCCAGATTCAAGAGTGTCTGGCGACGAAAGTTCCGCTCCCTCCCCGAAGCCAAGGCCGTCGACCTCTTCGCCGACGTCATTGGCGATACCTTTATCCTCGGCGTCGCGAGCGCCATCATCCTCTACGAGTACTGGAAGGCGTCGCAAAAACCTGACCAGAATGCGGAGCGCATAAAGGCTCTCGATGCCAAGCTCGAGGAGCTCACACGCCACGAGGAGGCGCTCTCTCAAAAGGAAGAGGAGCGGACCAAGAGGTATCAGGCACTTGAGGCCGCCCTCAAGGAGCTGAGGGATCCCAAGACCAAGAAGCCTCTATTACCAAGCCTGCAACTGTTGCCGGCGTCGACTGAGACGCAGGAGACGCAGACGCCAACTGCGTCGGCGGCATAGAAGTTTCGTGTCTCTTTGCGCAGCAAGTAGAAGGCAGTAGATGTGAAGAAGCCAGGTTTCTGTACAATTTCACCATGATACCATCTAGCCGGCGACATTTGTTCCCGTGCTGTACCAGTAATACACGGGGAGGTGTAGCTCAAACTAGCGAGGAGTTTAGAAGGACCACCTCACTCTCGGAAAAGGATAGAAGAAGTTGGCAAGAGTAGTCAGGCAGCTCTTGCCATGCCTGAATCACAGACTTGACTCACCTCACATAGGAAGATCCCAAATAACTTTACAAAAACAATTCAACGACAGTTCAAATTATTTCCATTGCCGAATGGCATTCACCGTATTCCATCGCAAAAGTATCCAACGGGAGCAGATCAACATACGGAGCAGTCTTCGTCGCACAGAAGTTCTACAACCTGAACCATGTTCTTCTGTTCCTCCTTCCGCCAGCGTCCTGAATGGGCACCAGTGATCCCTCTTCTCATAAGCAACACACCACCCTTCCAAGGTACGCAAAAAATACAACGAAAGTCAAGATAGATGTCATGCCTTTCTTTTTCCTTCCACACTTCCATTCACTAACAGAAAACTTGAACAACAAGAACGCGGACTATACACACACGACATCGCCCTCCCCATCTCCCAAGACCAGGTCTACCGCATCATCCTCCTGTCGCCAAAGGACGTTGGCCAACAAGCCACCGCACAGCGCCTAGAGCGTCTCGATAGCCTCGACGGAGGCTGCAACATTGCCATCATCTTCCTCATCGGTGAAGGCACCAAGCAAGTTGATGCAACGCAGGCTTTCATGGAGTTCAAGATCGAGTAAGTTTTGGGCTGAAGCAAACTGCCATCAGACGTATACACACGAATAGGTGTAATAACAACTCTTCATTTTGGGCATTCTTTGCAGTATTGCAGAAAAAGGCTAACAACAATTCCGCATCAAAGCCTCCTGGAGAAGCTTGATCCGCCCCTACTCGCACTACCTCTGACATCATACACGGAGCTCCCTTCCATGCTCGCAGGCTTCCGAGAGATGCTCGCCACAATGCAGCCCGCCATTCACTCTGCCTCGTCTCTCTCTCCAGCCCAGCCCACTTCCGCCGACCTACTCCTGTACATGGCCGGCGACAATGAACCCCTCTCGGAACACGGCGCCAACCTCCTCAGCGAATTAGGCCAGTCCCCGCGCGAGATTGCCGCCCTCGCCGACACAGAGGAGGGCAAGGCGCGAATCTTGGATGTGTTGGACCCGAAGGACGGCAAGGCCATTCTAGGGTTCCTAGCGCTGGAGAGGCTGGCTCTCACTTGAGTGTTGGCCGTGGGCTCGGGAGGCCGGGAGAGGAATTGGGGGTTCAGAAAGCAGGGTTGGCCGTTTTAGATCTCGCCGACGCCGTTGACGGGTGGACAGCAGGTGATCATGGTGCGACGATGGGCTTTTTCGTTCTTCGGATGGCAGATCGGTATCCGGTCTCTGGCGTCACTTGACGTGTGTATACAACTCTAGATGGAGGAATACCAGTTCCCTTGGGTTCTTCGTATCTGGCTCGACTTGGTAAAGATCGTGATAAGGGGGGGATGTGGACTGAAGAAAGGGGACTCGGGGTGGCTGTGTTCCGTGTGCATCACCAAGGGTAGACATGAGACGAGTCAACAGAGCAAAGGGGGAGCCGGTAGTTGAGCGTCAAGAGGCGATGGATCCGGATCATGGACGCCATCACCGTTCAACCTATGGAGAGAGCGGCTTGGACCAAAGACAAGGCTCTGACAGCTGTGACAAGCCATCGGACCAACAATGCACGCAAGAGTTGAGACTCGAGAGATGGGGGGGGGGGGGGGTGGAAGGATGGGGAGGAGAAGGAGGAAACGGCTGCCTCTTCCATAAGGGGGGACCGGGCCAGTTGACAGTCGTTCGTGCCTCAGAAAAGACCAGTTGACACTGACAAGTTGGCAATCGCGGGAAACGAGACGTTTGGAACTCCACCGACGCCATTTCGTCTCACCAAGAAAAAAGACGGGATGGAAAAAAAAGGAAGATACCATTTCTTCCCATGATCCGTGCGTGGGCATCCACGAGAAAATGCTCTGCGCTTTTTCTTGGTTTTTTATGGACGGCTAAGACGGATGATGTGCTCGTTCTGGGTGCGTGGCATGTTGCGTGTGATGGACCATTGAACCAGTAAGTGAGTGTGCATGGCAAGACAAGGGAAGGGAATTGTGAAGCATTTGATGTCGTGGTGTGTGCTTGGGTCCTCCCCTTTCCAAGTTCCCCCCTCCTTTTCCCGGCTGTGCTGAATAGCCGTGCTGATCAGGGAAACCCATTATGGGGGCCCTTGTCAGTTCTTCTTCTTATCACTTTATCCGACGAATATCAGAGGGAGGGAAGAGGAGATGATGGAGGTGAGAATCAGAGGAGATGGATCTTGCATTCTAGGCTCTAGCGGAGTGCAATGTTTGATCAGACAGAAGATCGATCGGGGGCTGTCAAACGTCGAGAGAGGGGAGTTGCATCATGAAGCCTATCCGGTCTTGGCTCTTGATTGATGTGCACTTCTCATGTTGAAGCACGTACTTATTAGTTCTTTCACTGTTCTCTTATTCTCGACTCGTAGAGAACTGTCAGTCTGGTTGTTTCATTTTCTCTTTTCGGTTGTTTGTTAGTCGTTTTGCCTTTTTGGGAGCGCCGTCGATCTTGCATACTCTTGACGCTGTTGGAAAGAGAAGAAGAAAAAAAAAAAAAAAAGCTCTGGAAGTGTTCTTGGGCCCCACTTGTCTCTTTCTCACCTTGCTTACACTCTGTCTCTTGCTACAATACAGACTCGCAAAGACGTCGAGGTGGGGGGTTGCCTCGTTCCTCCTAGGGTCTGGTTCTTGAGGGAACCAGGGTGGGCTCTGGAGGGACAATGTGGTGTGCGGACTGACACAAGAACACACGTTATGATGACTTCAGCACGGCACTCATCACCCGATGACCGACTCGTGCCCTGCAGACTGTGCAGAGACCATCACCACCACAACCGAACCACATGCAAGAAGCGAAAGAGTTGTCGGTTTGTGACCGGATGGCCCGGCAGGGGAGCCCTGAGGTGGTTCGGACCAAGTGCGATGGGGCGGGCAATCCCTTATTGCTTCCGTATTGCAGTCATATTGCAGCCGTTATTGCACCCGTATAATGTATTGCGCTATACTAGCCATGATATTGCTCCAAAGCTTGTCGGTAAGACGCTTAGCTCGGATCGGATACTTGGGAGATATGCTTATCTGTTTGTTGAACTCTGCACGTATGATGAGCGCGAGCTTTGGCTTACCAGTACTGCTAATAACAATAAGAGACAGACAATGTGCTAGGTGGCCGAGAGATATCTCTTTGCTTCGTTCTCGCATCCAAAAATTAGACTATACGTAGAAGTTTGCCTGCCAACTTCGGTGTACTGCGGAAGCAGCTGTCGGTCAAGTTAATCCGGCGCGGGGAACTGGCGTTAGGTTGCATGGCATGAGCAGATCTCGCCAGCCATTACCGTGGTGCCATGCTGCTAGGACAATCTGCTCATGGAGTATCTATTTCTGGCTCGGATATCGGTGAGCTATCTGTGCATGCAAAGTGGAATTGTCAATTTGAGCCAATTGACCGCCTCTGTAGGGTTCAATTGTTCAAATCAACGGTCCGGCCGCCGGCATCCAGTTCGTGACAGTGTGAAGCGAAATCAATAATGCTGTGATTGATGCCCGGCGGTTGCAGTAGCACAAAGTGACGACTCCTCCTTCAATCGGAAGCAACAGCTCTGCTGGTTGGTCAGGCCGTAATCGAGGGTGGGTTGGGGCCATGTGGGTTCCTGAGAGGGGAACCAATGAGCCGCGGCGCTGAACCGCCCTCCTAAATAGAGTTGAACACACCTCATTGTTAGCGGCGGGTTTTCCCCCTCCTCTGTCCTCGGTAATACTTTTATTTTTAGTCTTGATCGAACAGAACTGCATTCGATGCAGCAGAGCGGATGAGCGGGATGTACTGCAACTCACATCGGTGAGAGAGATTGCAGATTTGCACATTTGACATTGACCCAGAGTCAAATAAGACCCTGTAGGCCAGCCACTTGTCTGCCGAAGCGACCTCGATATGAGCACTTTTCCTCGCCATCCTGCCGGGGTTCTCTTGGGCATAGAGTTAGTGTAGACTATTGAGCCAAGTCATCACAGCCCAGCACTGAGAAGTTGTGACGACGCTGAATCAGGCAAGTAACGAGTATAATGCCAAGTTGCTATTATCGGAGAGCACGCAGCATGCAGTCCACCGTGCTCGACCCAAAAGCACGTCCGCACATGCGTCTCTAGAGACTTAGGTGACACATAAGGATTCGTTGCCCACGCCAAGACCGTTGATACCGAGGATTCCTCTGGTGCAGGACTGGCGGCGAGAGGCTGATACCGTGGTACGCCGCACGCACTGCAAATGCGAATAGCCAAGGTGAGGGGAAGGAAGGCAACTTGCACAATGGCACTAAGAGTCCTCCACGCCAAAGCTTTAGTGTCTCGAACGGTCGATCGGAGCTGTCACCATCGACTCTCGGGCACTTGCCGCAGAAAGCTGACGATGCCAGCAAACGTGTCAGCTTTATCTCGGCGCTTTGAGAACAACGGCTTTACATCCCAAAAGGATCATCTGAAGAGTCAGAGACGCTCGGTCTTGTTGCACCGATGACGGGGTAAGCCAGCAAGACGCCCAGGCTTCAGCATCATTGGTAGCGGGAGCAAAGCCGCCTCCCAGACCGCAAGCTTGTGCCCTTCTCCTTCACGGCTTTAAGGTTCTGTCGACAGGGGTTGCTTGACAGCTTCTGATGGCAACGTCACAGTCCCTGGTGTGGTCTGTTCTCGGTCTGAAGTGCAGCGTTCATCCTCAAGGCTTCGAGTCGTCTGTTGATCGGGTCAAGAAGACGTCGACTCCGACTGAGCAGGGGCCCGATCCGTGAGACGGGAGGCGTTGGGAGGCAGGCGTTCATGCGGTTTAGAGGTTTGCTGGATAAGACAACACTACCGTCTTTTCTTGGTTGTCTTCCGCGCCATCAACTGGCAGCCCCAATGATGCTTCGTTCGGTTTAGCAACCAATCTTTCCGGAAATCGTAGCGGGGCTCTAGAACTAAGTACATATACCATGTGGCATGTCGGTCGGTCGGTCGGCGAGAGAAGTCATGGAAGCTGCAGTCGTCGGATTATCGATTGATGATTCTCCATCAGCTGCTGCGCCGTACACTAGTCTCCGTCATCGTGGGTTTGGGACTTTGGACAACGGTGAAGAGCATGCCCACTGTGGAGTATGCGACGGACCCAAGTGCAGGCAAGCAGGGGGTACGAGAGAGGAAAAGAAAGAAAAGTCCGATCCTTGTCAATATCTTCCATGTGGCATGCCCAGCTTTTGCCAACATCTAGCCAGAAAGGGACTATCTTGAGGGGCAACGGGACCGGGGCCTGTTGTCCATGGTTGCGTTGCGGTCCAAAGGTGGACAGGGGTGGTTTCGTGGTGGTGGTGGTGGTGGTGGTGGAGGACAGGGTTGGGTGTCGGACGAGAGGGTGACTGCGACCGGGCAACGAGCAGCCGTCCCATCTTCTCAAACCAGCTCTGCCTCAGCACAGCCATTCTGGAACTTGCGTGTGTCTGAGGCGGTTTTGATCAGCCGTCTCAGAGTTTTGCAGAGGATCAGATGGCATGAACTCAGCGTGGGAGCTGGGAAATTCTGGATGGAGTGGGCAGGTGGCACAATGGGAAAAATCTTCTTGTGGTCTGAATTTCGGGGTGGCCTGGGCTGTGTCGTGTCGTCTTGTCGAGTCGAGTGGGTGCGCGATCTCTGTTACGCTTTCGACGCCATCTGGAAGATCAAAAGAGTTTGTGCGACAGGCGAGCGCGGACGAAGCGAAGAGGGTGTAGAGAGACGTACCTCTTACCTAAGCACATCAGGTTCTTTCCTCTGCCTGCGTAAGAACCTGACAAGCTTGAACAGGAAGGAAGAGACCACGATCATTCGGACCGCGATGCTTTTCTTAGATACTTACCTTCCTGCTCCTGCACCAATACCAAGACATAATTGAGGCAAGAACAGCTCGGAAACAGTCGATGGCGGGTATTGTTTCTTTTGGCCTGTTTATCGTCCCGCCCGACTTGCCTATCGTAGATTTCTGTGCATTCTCATTTGCTGAAATGGCCGAAGCTAGATTAATGAAATCGACTGCTGGCCCGTAAATCATCGACGTCCCCTCCAAGAGTGGTACATGAGTTCGCTGGAGGCTGGGGTCTTACAGGGCACTTGCTCACTGCTACAACG